AAAGAAAGTCGGCTTTACAGCTTATCTAGCATACACTAGCCTGAAAGCCATTTTGACTAACCCCAATTTTTTTTATGAATGGGACTGATTACAGTTCTTCTGTAATCTGAATTCCCTAAAAAACTTTACTTGCCAGCCAGGCAAGTTAAAAACGCAGTTCACTAGCCCAGTCATAAAATCCAGTACCCCAGGGCTATTGCCTGGACACTACTCTGTCTACTCTCTTTGCACACTGTTTAATGTAGTTTAGCTAGAACTTGAACCTTTGAATGCCTTTTTAAACAATATTTTTACTGAGAAATATGAGACAAACCTCCTGGATGAAATTAATAAAATACCTGTACAAGTGACTGGATAAAGTTGTGTACTATATGTTGTCATTTTTGCATAAACAATACAGGAATGATTATTCTTGTATTGCTTACGACTAATTATTACGTGTAGTAAATTGTGGAAAGTAATTAAATGTATAAATTAGAGGGCTGGAGAAGTCACCGTGGGAGTTTTTTTGTGGGGGGTGGGGTGGGTCTGTGGCTAATATTATTGAACACGGGTTATTATACACTTTATGAGAAATCATGTATTCTGGAAATAGAAAACTAAAAAAGTAATAACTACAAGACAATTTGAACCTCGTTAAGATTTGAATGATTTAGTGACTTAAGGAAACTAAAGGCGACTTTAGGCGACTTAAGGCGATTTTAGGCGACTTAAGGGGACTTAAGGCGACTTTGGGCGACTTTAGGCGACTTTAGGTCCCAGAGTAGGCCTGAGAAAAATCCTGTTTTTATTTATTCTTTTGTTTTTTCCTTTTGAATTAACAGTTGCTTTGAAACATGTTAATGGTAATGCAGAAGAGGTTGTCCTTCATGGGAACGTAGGATTTCATTCACAGATCGATTCAAAGTTTAGAACAAATATTTTGCCTCCCAAATCGCCTGTAAGCTCAGTCCTAAATGGAGCAAATGGAAATAAATGCCAAATAGAATTTTAAAGGAAATCAGACAAGTTTATGTAAAGCATATAGAGAATACTTCATGGAAAGTGCTGGCGTACGGTATTTACGCACGAGTTGTTGACGTATCAGAAATCGAACGAGTGAGCGCAGCGAACGAGTAAGATTTCTGATACAAAAACAACTCGTGCGTAAATACCGTACGCCAGCACTTTCCATGTGGTATTGTGTTTATTATATACATACTGAGTCATTCATCATTTTGCGGGCCTTTTTATTTTAAATCTTTCAAAAATGCTAAAATTTGCCGCTACACACTTACCGCAAAATGACAACGAAAACGAAGTATCAGCTTTTTAGTAAAAACGTTTGTTAAAAACATAAATGACGGTGAGGATATGAGGTTTAATCCAAGAACTATAAGTAATCTTAACTGTTTGTTCTCAATGCACAATTGAAAATGAGTGAATTTAAGTAAAATGGCCGGTTTCAATATAAGCTTAAGCTTAAATGAAAGGCAAAGTAGCTCCGACAAAAAGCACAACAAAAGCTTACGTCTCGTTCTGTTTATCCCTTTCCGCTGTTGTTTCGCCGGCTCTCTACCGTATTTTTTTATCGACAGTGAAACAAACGAAACTATTCCACTCCATTTCCGAAATGTTTTTCACTTTTTTAGCGAGAAAAACTCCTTGAGTAAAACTTTTCTCGTTGATAAATGTGTGCGAAGCGGCGCTGCAAGCTGCAATAAAAGGCGGGAATTTTGGCGCGAAACTCGCACACCTCTGTGGCTTCTGATTGGACGTATCATTTTTCTCACACGTGAAAAAACATCGTTCGCGATTCTGATTGGACGTATCGTTTTTTTCACGTGTGAAAACCATCGTTCGCTCCTCTGATTGGCTATAACTAATTTGCGTACGAAAATTTACGACATAGCTTTTTGGTGAGTATTTCTCAGTATGTATATAATAAATTAATTTCCCTGTATAATGACCTCGTTCAGTCAAAGCAACGAATCACTAACTTTTTTTAGTTCCCTCTTTCCCCAGTGTCCCATTCCCCTTTATATTTATACCTCTCTGTAGAAACATCCTGGCTAATGGCTAAAAACGTTCGTCGGAAAATTAAAAAGAATCAATTCGATTTGAGGATCTCTTCAGTTTGCGTAGTAGAATACACAAGTTTCTTGTGAATCTAAAACGTTCCATCTTCGGACGTGTACTGCTCGAAATGATACCCAAAGCCCCCGTGCAAACGAACGCAACATTGTTGGCCAACATCTCCCAACATTGTTGAATGTTAGATGATGCGTCCGTTTGCACACCCTGTTGCATGTTGTTGGATGCTGTTGCATGTTGTTGCGCAAAGTTTGAAACCGGTTAAAGTTTTAGCCACGTGCAAATGGACGCCACAAATCCGTTTGCACGCAGCTTAGGATTGATTTGTTCGTCAGTGATGGAAGCTGGGTACAAAGGGAATTTTTTAACTCAAAACTATAGTTAAAACGGGGTTGAAAAGCTACCGTGTCACTGAGTTTTTTTTTTTTTTTTCGTCTGATTTTTTAGCACAGACATGCTAACTCTTTCTCAATGAAAACGAAGTCTTATTACACCGTAAAAGTCAGTTTACTGCCATCTCCATGATCTACATATCAAACTGTCACTAAGGTTCCCCTTTGGCTACTAGGGGACTGGTACCCAATACACCGTCCATTTTCCAAGAAAGATGTAAAAAGATTCCTAGAACTAAACACAATTGTTTCAAGTTGGCAGGTGAATTTTCTTCTCGTCGTCCCCGTAAACGTTGAAGAAAGGCATACATCAATTTTTGGAAAATTCAGTGAGCAGGTAAAACTGTGAGTCGGTATCATTTCATGAACCGCTTTTGATTTGCAATTTAGTTAAATTAGAAATATATAAGGCCACCGATTAACCTCAGTATCCGAACAAGTTGTCCTTGGCGACGAAAATGCAGGCAAATCACACTAACACAAGTTGATAATCATGATTTGTGCTATTGATTTATGCTGGAAAAAGCGTTTCTTTTAATTTCTTTAGCGATTTTTTTAGCTATATATGTATATATATTTTAAATTTTTGGCGTCTTTTATCGTCTTTTTTGTGACTTTTTTTGGCGACAGTTTTAGCGATTATTGTGCCGACTTTTCTTAGCAACGCTTTTTGCTGCGCTTTTTGCTACACTTTTTGATTGTTTCTTGCGGGCTTAAGTTGTCCACGTGAGTTTAACGGGTAAGTGGAAATTCGTGCCCAAACAGCTCCAGCGGCTGTGGTGGCTTAGAATATAGGAAAAACCAGAAGAACCGATATAGCAGACCTTTGTCACGCGGCGGCCATTTTGTCTCAGGAGAATTAAAAATCTTTGTTTATGCACCGCTAGCCTCGTTCAAAAACCTACTTTAATCGGTAGCCCAATAGTAGTAGCAGAAGCAGTGACCGACCCTCAGAAAGACTCTCCGTTTTTCTTGATCGGCTGTTACGATGGAAAGCACAGAGAGAAGGTGTCTTATGTTAAAGATCCTCGGACTGGTGTTTGTAATAACCAGGACCAGATAACTGCAGATGGTGGATAGCGGATGGAAAAATGCGGACTGAAAAATAGGGTACTTAAAAAGCCATACTTTAAAAGAAAAAATGAAAAAGATTTTAGTCTAAAATAATACAATGAAAAGTATATATGTTTGCTATGAAATAGATGAAGTCCGTAGAATCTTTAACATACGACACCTGCCTCTGTGCCCTCGGAATGTGAAAACTTTTTAATTCAATTAGTTGCTATCGTTCTTTACTACAGGCCTAGGCTCAAAATCTTAAGGCTTCGAATTCGCTATTCTTCTTGATTCTTATTTTCAGTGTCTCCCAAAATGATCTGAAAATACCCGGCTCCGGCGTGTAATCTTATATCATTAGAAAATACTAGTTCTCATTGGCTATATCCATTATATAAACGACAGCCTTTCGAGGCAAAGTCCGATTTGTACACAATCTTTAATTTCAACCGAGTCTAGGTCTGATTAACAGAAAATAATCCAAGAATCCAAGAGCAAACATCTGGTTCTATATCAAAAAAGGTGTTTGTATTCCTATTTCAATCTTAAAGGCTTGATTCGCATAAACATATAAAGTGTTCTTCAATGTTCGATATCTCTACGATTGAGCTCATTTTTTCACAGAAACAGCCTGCCAAGAAAATACGAGTCTTTCTGTTGGTCCGTCATGACCCGATATTATTGAGGAACCCATTAAAGTAGACCAGTGAATCGTAGTTTAGGTTCTAGAGGAGCGGAATTTTTTTTTACAGGCTAAGTGTTTGCAATAGCGCTTTTTTAATTTACTCATCAATGTGATATATCGGCCCTCCCAGTGTTTCTTATATTCTAAGCCATCGTAACCTAGAACTGCTTTCAACCACGTATTTCCACTCACCAGTCAGTCGTATGTAGAACATGAGACTGCAAAAAAAGTCGCTAATTATAAGGAAGAAAAAGAAATGCCTTTTCCGCATGCGCTAACTGGTGAGCTACTGTAGCGGGGCAGCACCTGGTTACATTGTAAAACCGGGGCATAATCCAGGGCTAGTGAGAATAGTCGAGAGTTGCCAATGGAATCGCCCGAAATTTTCGTTTTTTCTTGGCCAGGCTAAGTATCCGACATGTTTCAAAGCATAACATTGTATTCGCGGCCTAAAAAGCTCACTCCGCTCGGAGGCAGAGTTGTGGCAAGTCTAACCCTTACTCCTTTTTTGTAGTTTTTCCCGGGGTGATTTTTTGTCCATTTCCACCTGCTGGATCGTATTGTGATCAGCATATTATTAAATATCATATAACATCAAAGAAATTCGCGCAGATGATAGTTATTGTCTGTTATTTAATAAAACAGTCACGCCAGCATTGCCAGCAGAAACTCCCCAGCAGGCTGTTGTGTGTGCTAACAGGCAATTTTAGAACCGACTACTGGTGTCAGCTTGTATTATGCTGACTGCCTAATGTCACAATTCAGAACCTCGTATACACATCGCTTTATTTTCCGCAGGGGTATGTCAAGACAAGTAGAGACCCCCGTGGCCAAATATGGCAAAAGTAGTGATTTTGGGAAAGTGTTGGATTTCATTCAATCCATGATAAGCAACGAAACCCTTCGACAAGCCTTTGACATTCCGCATTTAGTCGTGGTAGGTCGGCAAAACATGGCGAAGACAACCCTGATAAACCGCCTGATCGGGCGATATCTTCTGCCCATGCGACGGGATGAAACAGCCAACACCCTTCAGGCGCGGACCACGTGCCCCATCATACTGAACCTGCGCAATGGACTGGAAGCAGCTGTAGAAGTAAAGTGTGATGCATACCCTGATATTGGAGGAAGAGTAGAAAAACCCACGGATGATGTGGTGGAGAAATTCCTTACAGAATTCTCTACCTATCTTCTTAAAGAAGAGGGGACTCTTATATCCAAGACCCCAGTTAAAGTGACCCTTCAAGGTAATATATTGATCCAAAAGTAACTAAAAGTTAAGTTGCGTACATTTACTCCACTGGAAATTATGTTTTCCAGAAACGAAAAGAAAGCGCAGTGAACCAAAAAATAGTAAGAACGAGGAGGAATAAAGTAAGAGAAGAGAAATGGGTCATGGTACAGTTGATTTCATATTTGGCTGCAAAAAGTCTCAGTTACAAAACTTAGTGCCACCGTTGTTGTGCCATCCTAGTTGTTTGTGAAAGGCCTTTAGTGTGGCCCAGATCTGAAATAACCCTTTTAATCTGTCTGCGCCAGGTCCCGACCTCACGACCCTGACCTTGGTTGATCTTCCTGGCGTCCATTTCGCCAACAATGATCCTCGAATGAACCACGCGACCCAATCTCTTGTGTTAGACTACATTGAGAAGAACACAAAGAGCATCATAGTGATAGTGTCCGAGGTAGGGGACCTCACAGGAGACAATGCTATTAATCTGGTCATGGAAAAGGCTGCAGACTTTAGGAGCCGTACTATCTGTGTACTTACCAAACCGGACAGGCTGAGAGATTCCGATGACATGGGCCTCAAAGTAGCCTTGAATCAGTCAAGTTTTACCCTGGAGGAAAACCGCTTTATTTTGTTGAGAGGTAAGCATAAGATCATGTTACGTTGTTGGTTGTTCTTGTTTTTTGTTTCTTTGTGGGGGGTGTTGTTGTTGTTGCTTTTCTTTTTTATGCAAAAAGGGAACAGAATACCCTACGAGTAGCCTCCGGCCGAGCACTCCTCGCAGGGTAGGGAAATGATTTACATATACTACTTGGAAGCTAACTGAAGAAGTAGCAGTTTTTTAAACATCTGAAAGTATAATTTCTGTTTATTGTAAAGGTCTCCAGTTAGTATCAACTCAGTGAGCATGGCAACTTTCATTCTCTGGAACGACCCCTTTCAGCTACCTGGTTATTTAAAAACACATCCCTAAAGATCCAAACTTATCGTAAGAAAATGTCAGTCATTTTTTATCTAAATTTTTGACTGACAACGAGATTTTCATGGGCTTTGTGCAAAGGTCTCAATAGGGTTAACCGTACACTTGACAAAAGTCGACCTCACGAGTTTCTTAGCGAGCGGAGCGAGCTTTTTAGGCGGCTAGCCTGCGTAGCAAGCGTTTCCAATCGAGTTATTGCGCCAAAGTTAGAGCGGAAGCTATAAAAAAAGGTGCTCTCTTCCCAACTTTCTCGACGAACTCGCGCGGAAACGCTTGCTACGCAGGCTAGGCGACCGAGCGAGGGACGAAGTCGAGAGAGGTTCCGCGCCATATGAAATCGGACAAAGGACTTTTTTGAAAGTCTAGGTTAACCGTTACGGGTCGTAAAACAGATATTTGAGGTAAAAATGGAAGTTTGTAACCGTTAATCGTAAAAAAGTTGACGGTGAAAATGTTTTCTAGCCCCTATTTTTCATGATGCGCGTGCATGGCTTATTAACCCTATTTCGGTCGCATTTTTTTTCTATCTTAGGGGAAGCTGGGGGCCTATTTCTCGAAAGGTCCGATAATGAACGGGCCCGGGAAGCTGTTGTTGTTTACATGCAAGATCGATGTTTCAATGGTTATGCAGATAATATGATAAAACTATCGGTTAACGCGATACAATTTGAAATAGTTTGTTTGCAAGCGTCTTTTAGAATATTTGATTTCGGGCCCAAAAAGTTACCGGGACCTTCGAGAAACGGATCCCTGGAAAACTCCTTGGAAGCTAAAACCGATGGAAAATTTTAAACTTTTTTCACAAACAATTGAGCTTTCTTCGTCAAATATCTACGGAACCCACCGCGGAGAATAAATCGTTTATAGCCGCAAAAAAGGCAAAATATTTACCGTAAATGCCTTCCCCCTTTTGAGACCCTCCTGTGTGGGTGCATTAAAGAGGTTTCACTTTATATTGAAATTAGAGTGTTTTTTTTTTCATATAACCCGTTTTCTGCTTGAAATTGAAGTTTTTCTTATAACAATTAATGTGAAACGATTGGGAACAGGAAAAGATGCAACCGACGCGAATGAGAAAGACTGGGATGCAAAAACGACTCGATTGAAGGAGAGAGAGTGGTTCGAGCTTCATCCCCAGTACAAAAGCATCCTTCATTTGTGCGGTATTGACCGACTCATGGACACTATGATCTCACTTCTGGCCGAGAAAATGGGCAGTGAGATTCCAATTTTAGTGAACCAAATGGAAGAGAGAAAGAAGAAGGTAGGGACACAAAAATACATCTCTGTCGATTATATTCAGTTCCACAACAAGAAACAGTTTAACCTGTTAACAACATACTTCACCGTTTGCGATAGGACATTAGGTACTGAAAAATTGATGAGTCTGCAAATTTTATGCAAAAAGGCTCTGGGTTAAGCCTTGAGGGCCTTCCTCTACATCCACCTCATTTCACAATAAATATCGAATATATAGGACTGAAATTTCCTGAGGAAGCCAATTTTGTGATATCCTTTCCTTTTCAGAAGTAACCTTTTAGTTGTAACTTACTAGTTACAAATAAGGTTCAAATGCAAAAATCACCTACTTTGCAAAGAAAGTTTAAATCGCCTCTTCAAGCGCTTTTATTTCATACAGGGCCGAGTTGTTCAAAGCTGGGTTAAGATAACCCAGGGTAAGTGCGAAATTTGAATTCATATTTGAAAGCTTAAAAAGCTTTTCAGTTTTAATTCTTTTTGCTACAAGTTGATGATTGGAAGCTCCAAAATTAACAGAGAAAATCATCCGAGAAAATGCTTTTGAACACAAGAAAAAGAAACCAGGGTTAAATTTAACCCTGGGTTAAGCGCTAATCGGCCTTTGAACAAATGGGCCCAGATCTATTTTTGGTTTGTAGGTAGATTCTGAACTGCAAAAGCTGTCCGAAAGCGAAGTACCAGAGTCCAGTAATGAAAAAAGGAGGCTTGAGATGAAAGTTAAACATAATCTTGTCACCCGGCTGAGGGACCTTCTCCATAAAAACAGGTCTAAAATTCGAGGAGGAGAACAAGTGAGAGCTTTGTTCAATGAATTCCACAATGATATTTACAAGGTCAGTGAAAAAGATATTTTATGATATATATTAAGTGGACATAAAGGGTTGTTTTCCTTATATTTAAGCAGCTTTTCTTCTCTGCCAGAATGATCTCCACTATATTTTTTTTCGGTTTTCAAAAGGCCTCCATTAAATTGGGGTCTTCAGCAAACGTGGTGCTTGGGAATTTTTGGATCTTTTTATAACTTTTTAAAATAAAGAAATACTGAATAATGCTTGAATAATCGAAAAGGGGACGTTTTAAGTTTTGAATGAGACTGTCATCAACATTCAGTTTGAAGTGAATTATAATACTTCTCGTAGACAAAGGTCAGTTAGTCCCCCATCACACCAAGGGGCCTCAGTCGTGAATCCGTTAGCGGACTTACTCAGGTTTTTTCAACATGACAGTTTACCCTTTTCTTCCTTTTATTCTCAACTCATACTGTTTTCCAAAATGGTAGCCAGATGCCGTCTTAAGGCTACCTTTGAAGGACATTGGAGCCCCAGTAGGCGAATCCTTGTTTACATTTTTTGCCTCATTAACATTTGCTTATTATTAACTGATGAAGCTAATAAAATAACATCTCTGACTATTGAAAGAGTACAATAATTTCAGTTATCTCTATAAATTTGAGCCGGATATACCCAATAGTTTCGGAGAAATTCTCTTTGAAAAATCCCAATTTTTACAAAGAATGTGAGAGCTCATTAACCTTTTTTTGCCACTCAGCAATTTCGCTGTTTTTGAGTGCTGCTATTAGGGACTTTAAGATCCAACGACGCGGACGACAACGAGAACGTCAAAAAAACAATAGGTTTAATTAGCAAAACAACAACTTCGCACGTGCATCACGCTTTTTTGTACATTTCATTCCCGTTTTTGCACGACTACGACGTGAACATGCCTAATTTTGCGTTTTATGGAGGACATAAACAAACAACGACGAAATTTTATTTCTCTTTCTGAGCTTGAATTTGGTCCTTTGAAATTCAGCTTCAGGAGGGTTCGCCTACAATTGACAAAGTAAGAGGGTATGAATAATCGCTATAAAGACTGAAAGAACGCAAATTCACTTTTTAAGCGACGTTCTTGTCGCCGTCGCGTCGTTGGATCTTAAAGTCCCTAATTCCTCAGGGGCACCCAACGTCAATTTTCGGAAAATATCTGTTCGGAAGACGATTTGAGATCTAGAATTTTCGGAACATTTGTTGTAAAATTTCTTGCTTGCCTGCCTCTCCTACGATTTTCGAACATCCAAAAAGTGGTATAATTGCCCATTTTTAACGGATTTTTACCCTAAAAGATCAGCTAGAATTTTCGGGAACCTTTTTTCTGGCTGAAATTTTCGAAAAGGTAAGTTTTGATCCCTATAATTTTCGGATCACTAGACTTTCAGCTAGGAAATCCGAACAGATGAAAAATTTTTAGGAGATAAAAGTATGCCTATATCTACCGTTTAAATACTAAAATACGTTTAACAATGCTATGTTTAAGTGGTTTTGAACTATATTCTCGTTGGGTGCCCCTGTTTCCTTTATTATTGATTGCAAAGAGCTGACACTTGTACAAACTGCTCAAATTGACCGGCTCTTTGAACTTTTGAACCTAACTGGTATATACGACGACGTCGTTTATGGGTTACCTCGCTAATGAGCAAAAATGTAAACAATGACGTCACTTTGAATGAACGTCTCTTTAATGAGGATCTGAGTATCACGAATGATGATCCTCGTCTCAAGTACATCTTTACAGCCAGTAAAAACCATAACGGGATGAAAATGTCATTTAGGGCGGACATGCTCTGCCAAGAGAACATAAAAGGCTTTTATGTTCAGGCTTTTATGTTCTCTTGGCTCTGCTAATCCCTTTACTTCTAAGCCTTTCTCTCTTCTAAGCCCTTCTCTGAAAGATTAATCTACCAAAGTAAGAAATTTTTCCCTGGTTAAGCTGTGAGCCAAATGTGTGCAGCAACTGAGACCGGCGAATATAACCGGTGCCCCCTGTTTAAAGGGAACCTCGACTCTTACTACAGAATAAGTTTAAATCGAATAAAATTATGTTGATAAACAAATTTGTTCGAAATTTGTCTTAAAAAAAGTGTTTATATCAGGAAAAGTGAATTTTAAAATCGCTTATTTTCACTTTCAAATTTCGCGGGCGCCGCCATCTTGAATAATTGTGACGTGTTACGGTTGCTCTATTGTTCTGACACAAAGAGCTTTTGTTTAATAACAATAGGACAACCATTACACGTCACAATTATTCAAGATGGCGACGCCCGCAAAATTTGAAAACAAAAATAGGCGAATCTAAAAGTTATTTCTTTCGGATACAAACGCTTTCTTTAAAAATATTTTAAATTGACTTGACTGTTACAGTTATTTCCTGTGATTTAAAGTTATCTTTTTGTTGAAGTGGAGGTTCCCTTTAAGCGTACCCAATGCACCCAACGTACCAGTTCCGAGGCATTCCGTCATACCAACGGAATTACACTTTATCATTAGGCAGAAAAAGATAATAATTATGATCAAAGTTTCCGGTGGGGATTTTTAATTCCAAAAAATCGGTAAAGCAGCATACTTACAGTAAGTAAAAAATTGTTTTAAAAGGCCATTTGCACGATGGCGTCATTTTACTACTACGACCAGAATCCTTTTGGTTTTTCCTTTCACATTCAAATTTGGTAATCCCAGCGAGGTTTGAATAACAAAAGCCTTAATTTGCACAAGAAAGCAAACCCTTGAAGGATTCTGGTCATAGTAGTAAAATGACGTCATCATACAAATGGCCTTTTTCTCGTTGGAGTATGCATGGAGCTGACCCAAGAAAATAGCCACATCCCTGGCTTCATTTGAAATCAAGCAGGTTTTTCACCTGTTCGCCAATTTTTCAGCAGTTTACCAACCACACTGGCTCAATTAAAGTCAGAATAACTAATATGAGGAGAAATTTTCCATGTATTCTTTATTTGCCTCGAATTTCATATCTAGCTTTCAAATATTCGCTTTGCCGTTGTTTTGGTAATTCATATTGATAGTGAATTTGCGTAAAGAGGTTTTAGCTCCGCAAAAAGGCTCGTGCCATTTTATTGTCCTTTGTCGGTTTAAGCTGCTTTGTGTCCGCTAAGTAATAATTGTAGAAAAACCATCAGTGTTCCTTAGCAAAAAAAACTTATTGATCGTCCTCTTTTCAATTACACACATTTTACTTCAATGTTGACTTTAAAAAGAATAATTAGTTTCTGAATAATTGTTATTTATCTTTAGTCTATCTATCGTGATTTTACAGCAAGATGGTGTCTACTCATAGTATCGCCTTTCGCACAAGTGTACCTCTTTTTAATTGCAATTTAGCTATATTTATTTGCGAATATATCTTTCATTAAAAGTTGTTAGTTAAATAGAGGCAAAAGGTGAATTTTGAATATCATAGGTTTTACTGTCTCGTAATTTTTAAAATAGATCGGTTTTTGTTTAAGATGCATGAAAACTTGCAATGAGTCTGCTCTTCCAGTGGCGAATCCAGACCCTCAGAAAAGGATGGGGGGCGGTCATCCAGACCCTGAGATAAGGGGGGGCGTTCTTAAAATAAGGGGGGACCTCGCCCCCCGGGCCCCTCCCCTGGACAAACGCCACTGGCTTGTTACTGTTTAAACAGCCGATAGCTGAACTTGCATTTTCATCCATAAAGACTTGTTACATAAACGCTGTTTTCCTGACCTGGCTAGGTGTTTGTTTCAGTACTTGTACTTTCTAAAATAGCAACAGTAACAAAAGATTTCACGTTAAAAATATAGTTTGTATTAAGTTTTCATTTAACTCTAAGCGATTTCTGTTGATATTTCTATTGTATTCAAGTTAGTTTAACTTTTCCTCGATCACATTGTCGATTACATCGAGGATTTCAGAGCTGATTACATTGCCGATGTAGTACCTACATCGTCGTTAACATCGCTGATTATTACGCCGTGTCCTGCCTGAGTTATTGCCATTTGATCCGCTGAAGAATTAACGCTTTTGGAACCAAAGTTTAGTCCTGTTTTATCTACTGCTGTACCATTTAGTGGTTTGATCCCGGTCCTACAGAGAAGAGACGGCTCTTTCCCGCAAGCGAGTTGCCATTTGAGTCTAGTTTCCCCAGTTTTATCGAGAGTTAAGCAAAGAGTTCCCGTTAAGCCTCGCAAAGTTTAGTTCTGCCTTACTACTGCTTTTCCTTCCGTCACACTAAAGCCAAACGGCTTGAAAATCTTCTTCGTATACAGGTAGACCCGTTGGTTCTGCAGGATGATGACGAGATACGTAGGAGGCAAAGGAGTTTGGCGGGCGTATTTGCCCCTCTCGGAGACAGCAGTGAAGACAGCCAGCTGCTTGAGGAGCTACTCTACGAGTCATACACATATGAAAAGAAGACCCAGGGAAACAAGGGTATGAAAACCACAGGGTTTACAGCTCTTGATAGTTATGTCAGTAATAGACTAGTTAACGGGCAAGGTGATTAAATTTCAGACAGTCAGTTCAAAACGGTAGTAGAGTACTTTATTCTTGTCAGCCCTGACACACGTTTTTCACAACAGCTCCAATTCAATTGCCAACTTCGCTAAATATTGGCAAATTAAATAACTCATGTAGGTATGTTCGGGCTTGCTGACCATGAGGGTTACAAACAAACCTACTCTGTTGAACATGAAAACAAGGCCTACAAAATACTTCACAACACATTTTAAGAAACTTCTTCACAAAACTAATCATACTTGTTTCTTCGTCCTTTCAAATTTGTCAAATATGTTATCCGGATATTTTCTGTGTAACTATTGTATCGTGAGTTTACAACATATTCGTTTGCAGAAGCTGTTCAGATAATCGAGGTTAAGAGTCCTGTTGATCAACTGATTCCAATAACAGAAAATCTTGTCAAAAACGTGGAGAAAACCCTACGAGAAATAGTCCAGGGAGCGATCAATGAAAACTTTTCCAAGTTCCCCACCGCCTTGAAAGTGGTTGAAACGAACGTGGTGAACAAAATTTTCAAAACCAAGCGAAAGCAGACGACTACATTCATCCAGCAGTTTATTGAGATGCAGAAAAAGAGTATTGACAGAGTCTTCGGTCCTGTCCCGTTTCCAGATGAGCTTAAAACCTGGGATTCAACGCTTTTGCAGAATCGTAAACCACATCCCTGTATGGAGTCTCCAATGATGTTTCACTTGAAGTCACTGGCTGAGAAGCTTTATCCAGAAGGAATGATCAAAGATATTGAACGCGGAAATAACCAGGGAAACTTCAAGGTCAGTAGTAAATCAAAAGACTACGATGAGTAAACTAACCCTATGGCTTTTTGGCGCTCTTTCCTCTTCAGCTCGTGTTGCAAGGTCTTTTGTTTCAGATCAGTGCATGATTATGGACGATAGCATGACATACTCTTTTTACGATACTTATACTTAAATATTTCCAGATCTCCTAAGTTTGCGTCAAGTGACACGCGCTCAATTTTCTCCAACTGCACGTCTGTCACCCCTAATAAGTCCCCGACCCCCTTTTTCTCTTGGACAATTATACCCAATCTACCTCTTCAGAGGGTTGTAGCAAGTCATGGATGGGCAACAACTTCCTAGTCCTTCGATCTAAATTCTGCAATTCCATCTTGTTCCAGCAACTCCAACTCCATATAGCATCACTTGTTTCGTGTTTCTTCCACTCAGCTTGCACTTCACACCAATTTTTTTTCCTTTATTTTTTTTTTGCTTTTTGCTTTTTGCTTTTTTGCGTCTATGGAAATGTTTATTCGTTACCTTGTCCTTTGTTCTATAAATCATCATACTCAAGAAACCCTAAGTACGGCCATCCTCTTCTTTAGTGTTCACTCGGTCCTCCATCAGCCTGATCCACTCCTTCAAATTCACATTTAACCTTCTCAGCCTTCCCTATTTTCAAAACCAGCACTCTTAATTTGATACATAATAATTATTATCACCAGAATAGCGTAATGAAATCCAAACGTGTTTAATTTAGTTGTGACAAAATTTAAATTTGTCTCTGGGAGAGGGCGTTGACAGCTTTTCTTTCTTAGGATCTCGAGGATATGAAAAAAACAAAAAAGAATGTTGTGCGTTACTTCAATGCGATCAAAATGAACGTCTGCGATACAGTTCCTCGCTGCATTCTTCATTTTTTCATCACTCAATTCTTGGACGACCTTGAACACGCCTTGGAACAAGAAGACTTGGTCGAGTTCTTGAAAGAGAAGCAGGAAATTCGAAACAGGCGTATCCAGTTTCGGGCCGAGTCCGCCGCTCTAGAGGAAGCGCTGCCCCGCACTGAAGACGTAGTGCAAATGTTGCTGCGCATACAGGGCGGATCGAGTGAAAGTGAGATGCCGCAGTTTTAAGACTAACTCTAGTAACCATGGCAGAGGGTAGAGTACCATTTTGTTATCTTTGTGTCATGTTTTGTCCGTTTGAAAACAAAGTAGTAAATAGCTTTAAGAATAAAATCATTTTTCAATCATCGAGAGGAAGGGCAGAAAATTAATTGAAATTAAAAAAAAACATAATCAATAGATCACTGTATTTATATTTCCAATCTAAAAATCGTATCTTTAAATCGGATTATTGTTGCGAACGAACTCCAGATTTTATGATTTGGTGAGAAAGCAACTGAAATATCGGTTTTAGTTGACAATTAACTTTTCCAAGTGGTTACTTTTCAGCACAAAAAGCAATTAAAGTTGGACACGCAAAGTGAACTACAAAAAGGGTAGGAGAAGGATGATAAGGTGGCTTAGATACAATATAAATAACCATTAGTAGGACAAGTTGTTGATAGGAATGCCAGTCTAGAGAGATTAATACTGCAACTAAATAAAACTGTGTAATTGCTGGGCATTTGTCGCTCTTTTGTGTTAAGTCATACTAATATCTATTATCATTCGCTGCAACTTTTTCTTCCTTTTGATTGGCCGAGAGCCCACCAGGTGACCTGCAAATAACTGGCTACAAATAATGGTCTGTTCATACGTAATCTCGTCCAATTGTGTCTGGCTGCAAATAGTATTCTGCTCATGCGTAAACTAAACAACGCTTTTGTCCTTCTTGCGTATGGCTTCGCTTCCTGAAGATATTCATTTAAAAAAAAAAACAAACTCGGTGATCGAATGATAAACAATTATTGAACTCGGTTCTCGCGAGTGTGATTTGTCATTGTCTCGCAAATGAATTATTTGCTGAAGCCGAAGGCTGGGGCAAATAATTGATCTGCTCGCTACTGACAAATCACGATATTTTGCTCAACCTAGTCCAATGATTGTTAATTGCTGCAATGGGAAAATCCTCATGCTCGGGTCACGGAATGTCGATTCGGGAAATCAGTCGTTAAATCGACGATCGTAAAATCGGGGTTCTATTGTATATGCGAAAACAACATTAAAAGCTCAATTCGTAAAGCGTCAAACGAAATAAAATCCTCCTCACAAACATTACCCATGTGTAACTTTTTCGTTTTGACACTATTTTCGTAAAGAAATTTTCCAAAACTTTAACTCATAGTACAATCCACTTTGGATGAATGAAAAAAAAAACAAGAAATCTGTCTGATATGAAAACGAATTTAAAGTCATAAAAAGCTGACGTTTTGAGCACAAGCCCTTTTGGAAACCCCCTCGTTCAAATTTCCTTCACGTTGGCCAATTTATCTTCTGGCAGAACGTTTGACTTTTACGTTAACAATACTCCAACCAAAATATTAACTATACGTATACCTGTAACTTCCTATTTTTATCCGTTTTTTGAAACTTGAATAAGCAAGTTGTTTTATTTTAGTTTTAGATTAGCTTAGGGGGGCGCCATTATGGAAACCAGGGAGTCATCAGTAGTTGATAACCCTCAATAAAAAACTGTGTAATTTTTAATAATATTATTAATAGTAGTATTATTTTGTTTTTATCATCATCATCATCATTATTATTATTACTGTTGTTATTATTATTATTACAAATGGTAGAAAAGTCCTCGCGATTGTCATGTTTCCGACAGGAAAACTAATTATTTTTACTCCCAAGTCTTGAGCGAATGTGCAAAACAATTCCTTTCTCGTTGAAAAAGGCAAACGTTATAAATGGTGAGGGAAATAGTCACCTGGACATATCTGATGTTTGTTTGGTTATCTCTCTCATGACAAATTCTTGCGTTTTACTGGCTTACCCCACCGCTACTTTTTGTTGTTGTTTACTTATTTATTTATTTTGGTTTGGTTTGGTTTTTCAGAATCTGGCCCGTTAAGAGATTAAAAAAACACCCACGAATGTGATCAAAATACCTTCAGTATTCATTGGTTCAACAAATTTGATTTTGCAAGAGATGTTCTGATAATCTTTCTTGTACTACAATTGCAGCAGGACTGCCATCAATCCAGGAGAAATTCCATCTTAAAGTCCGAAGACAAAAAATTGTCTTCATAGCTACATCGCCTTGGTATAAATATTATCTACGGCACTCGTACGCTCGTGTAGGAATCCGGTATTAAAGGTGTGATTTTCATAAGTTGGTATTAAGTACTGCATTTAATTCACTCATGGTAAAGAGGTTTCCAGGTCACTTTTGATTCGTTCTATTCACGTTCTATCTGCAACTTCGTCTTATTTTGAGTCTTAAGATTTCAACGTCAAGCACATGGAGGAACAAAGTGACCATTTATAACAACATTTCTATAAAAGAAGCAGTTCTTTAGTAAGGTGAGATCCACTGAACTGGATTTTCAGCAGCTTTCAGCTTGTAAGGGGTGGAAGAGAAGTTTCTGTCTCCTATACATGATCTGGATTAACAGTTTGAACTTTCATGATTCCGTATAAAGCCAGAAACACCCAATCATTTCATCCCAATACAACGCCACTTTTCCCAGAGGATGGGATAGGGCCTATCGAAGGACACGATTTTTTCGCATGTGTCCCCTTTCAGGGCAACTTTCATTAGGCTAATTGTATTTTCCTTGATCGCTTGTCATGATATCGTGCACCAAGATCGTGACGCATTTCCGGTACTGCTGACGTCATCGTCGTCATCTGAGTCTTCGCCCTCCGGTTGGTCTTCGTCGTCTTCGCTACTTTCCGTGTCGCTTATATCAGGCAGACTGTAACGACGAAGGTGTTTGGTCGTGACGTAGACATCATCCGTTTCTGTTCTGCAAGAAAAACCGGAGGAGATGAGAGCACATTTGTCGACAAGTGATTGGTTGATTCGTGTTGTACAAGGCCTGGATACGGAGAAGCATTCCACGAGCATGGTTTCAGAAATCCTAACAAAAACTAATCTATGGAGGATTTTGACCGGTCTTTTACGTATTTCAACTTCCTCCTGAAGCACCTGTACATAGATAACATTAACCTAACCGTTCCCCAACTCAATAGCAAAGACAGTATCATAATCAATTGAAAACATTAAGGGGGTGATTACATTGCGAATTTCAGCCGGTGGGGCGCGCTGAAAAATTGCTGCGATTACATGACAAATTTCAACCCGGGCTGAACTAGAAACAACCACACTGCGTAAGCGCTCGTTGCCTTTTCAGCCCGGGCTGACATTCTATTTCGATTACATGGAATGTTTGTGGATTTTTCAGCCCGTTTGCCCAGGCTGAAACCTTCTCCATGTAATCGCCACGTTCATTTCAAGCCATGTAATCACCCTCTAACTATCGCTATATGATAATACCTTTTTTTCGAACCATGTTCGCCACAGGCAGCCCCAGAAAAGTGAGGGCAAATTTGCTCGACTTCACTTACCTAGCGAAAAAAAACTTAACAGGTTAAACTCACCTTGAACGCTTCTTGACTTTTGAACTTGGTAGCTGATCCCAGAGTTTCAGCTCCAGCCCTCCTGTACACATTCTCTGCACCGTCACCTGGTCACGTGTTGTCTGTGTGCATGACAGACACGTGATACTTCCCGTGCATTCGTCATCTACGGTTGCTACGTATTCCTCAGAAGGAATGCTGCGGACTAAACCAACACAAACAAGTAAGTCAAGTAAGGAAGTATTTGTCTTAACTTAACAAACGCTCGGTACGTAAACGGAAATCAACATTGTCCTTCTGAACTTGGCTTTCAGATAACGTCCTGTGATTAATGCCAAATGTGTAACCATTCAAATGAAGTTAATTTTTTCAACTGGAGCTCTTACCGTTCAAGTATCCATTACCGCGATCAAGATCGTAGCCCGCGCTCACGAGACATGAACCGGAGGTTGCCATGGCACCAGTAGATCCGAAGTCTGTCACGTGATTTCGAATCTTACGGATTTTTCCTAAACAGCAAAAGGAAAGAAGGTGGTCAATTAGTCTACAAGCAATTTAACCAAAGCTGGGCTGTGCTACAGTAGTGCCTCGTCCACCCTAGGGATAAAGCTTTTGCTAGGCGTGAACTAAGAATCATCCTTGGTCGGTTGTTGGTTCTCGTCTGTTTATTCGGTATTTCTCTATTTATTCATTCCTTCATTTTTTATATATTTATCTATTTACCTATCGGTCTAGTGGCCCCTGGAGTTAACCTTTATATAGGACAACCTAAATTCATAGGTTTAGGCTTTTCAGGCTACCTTTAATTTTCCTTGGAGCAAAACTTTGTGCGCACCACATAAGGTTAGCTATAGCCCACCTGACGTCAATTCCATGGCTTTTATGTTCACTCCATCGTCTCCCCAGTAAACTGTTTCCTGTGTTGTTGCCAGGCAACGCACGCGTCTCGGTTTAACCGTCACATTTCCAGCCGTGTTGTCAGTAGGGGCCTGGTCGGAACTCATCACCGGCTTGAGAGAATTGTCCCGGATGTCCCAGACCTTTACCACCCCGGTGGCTGAACCGCTGATCATTCGGTTGTCCTGGAACTAAGCGATACGTACTAGAAATAAGAAACTCTGAAACGGCCAGTGGACAAGACCTGAAACAGAGTTACCATGGTTACCTTTACAGCCGTGACGGCATCTTCATCATGTCCCCGAACGGATCGCACAGCTGTTCCGCTTTCCATGTCCCAGAGTTCCACCTTTCCGCCATCTGAAGAAAATAGTAATTACAGTGATAAAGATACACACAGAAGAATCTAATAAACGCCTCAGTAAACTGGAGTTCCTTTTTGTATCACACCGTAGGGGTGGAATTCAAAGTGATTGCGTGATGACTGCACATAATTTGCGAGGTGAACGGATATTCGTATAGTTTGCGTGATTTTGCGTGGGACAAGCCAACATGTTAAGCACAGAATGATGGGATTTAATCATGTACAATGAACTGCTTGTTCTCGTTTTACAACTCATCCCGGATTTGCAAACAATCTAGTTTCATGCAAAGAAAAATTCAGTATTTTATTCTCTTTATGGCACAAAACGCCAAGCCACACTTGCCCGGTGATTACATATATTATGAAATATAATTTTTTGCTTTTGGACGTCATAGAATTTGGGTCAAAATATCCTGTTATCTTCCGGTATGTATGCCGCCCACGGTGTATGACTTTCGGAAGTCGGGGAATCGAGTCTTGAAAACAGGGTTTAACATTCTATATTCAACGTCTTGAACGGGTTGTGTTTCTGGACCGAAAGCCTAGCGTTTATAAAGGAAAAGAGTTCATCGACTCCAAAAATTATAGTATGCTATTTGCCACTTAAATAAACAAATGATATTTTTCCTAATCTTCAATGGGGTAATGTATTTTTCTCTCGCTCTTAATCTGAGTTACATAAAAAGATCCTTCCTCGCTGTTCACGTTATCACCTTGTTTAAAACAATGGAAAATCGGGGATTTTGCCTAAAACGGGGTCAGAGTTTTTAAGAAGATCTCGGCGCCACACCTCTTGCCAAACTCCCCTTAAGTACCCCCGGTGTAGCTCTTGTCGTGAATCCACCTTTGAGAGGAACGAGAAAGTTCTAGAATGTTTGAAGTATAAAACACGCACCTTTACTTCATGTAATTTCTCCGGACTAGGAGACAAACTAAAACATGTCTCAGTTTACGAGGAGTTAGTGATGAGAGTATCAAAGAGAAGTTGCGCTTTTTACGCATTGGCATTAAAGGTCTGATATTATTAGAACACATTTGCTTCGCAACATTCATTCTATGACGTTATGATAAAACAGAGAGGAAAACGAACTTACAGACTCAGTTTACGTAAAAGTCACTCTCTTGTGACGTATAAATTGACTTTCAAATCGATTTCAAACGAAAATTTACGAAAACTAGCGGTACAAAGTTCGAGTATAAACTACACGGGCAACACGACTGCGTCACATGCAAAACAAAGAACTTTGACCAACCTAGACCAGCCGCAATAAGATTGTCACTGTTACAATCCAAGCACTCTACGGGCGAGAATGCGTACATAGACCTCTTGATTTGACCTGGAAAAGGACGAAAAAGAGACAGAAAAACGATTGAGTTTCATTACGTAAGAACGGAGAATAATTATCAATGAATGGAAATAAGAGACAAACTTACGAAAAAGCATCATTTTAAAGTTAAAACATCAGTTGGATCGCATGTCCTTTTTATAAAGGACAGAGATGCTTTGAAATGTTTCTGACGTTCGGTTATAGCTTAATCGTTTAAGGGTACTTACTCCGAAGAAACTCGTGGTTTTAAAAATGGAGAGCTTTTTTGTATACAAACAAATACTGGTAAAACAAGATGCAAATATGTCACACGATATTCCACCATGTCAACACAAGCACGAGATAACGTGACTCAGTTGCAACCAAGCGTGACGGTACTATCAAGGAAAAACAAAGTCACGTTGCAACACCTCGTTGTCACGTTTTTGACAGCCACGTGCCAATAAGAGAGTGACAACATGGTAAAAAAATTATGCGACATACGTCACAATGTTTTGGAAGGTTTCTTAGAGGCAAAGTGTGTGTATTTTCTGTTTTTGTTTTCTGTTTTGTTTTGTTTGTTTTTTTGTTTGTATCTTTGTTTGTTTTTTTCTTTTTCCTTTTTTCTGGGGAGGGATAGGGGACAATATTCCCACAGCTTTATAAATCTATGGAACCTAGGAGGTGGGGATATTACTGAACCGATTTTTCGCCCCATGTAAGTCTTGGATCCTAGATTCCACGTTGTTGATTCCCGATTCCCGATTCCGGTTTCCAGGGTCTATAATTTCCGGATTCCTTTAGCTGCATTCTGGATTCCAAAGCCCAAGATTCTGGATTCCACAAGCGAAAATTTCTCGGATCCCGGAACCGGATTCCCTTATGTAGAGCTAGATTTTGCTCTTACCATTTGCAAGAGACCAGATTTTCATGGAGCAGTCTTTTGATCCCGTAAGCACAGAATACTGGTCTGTTCGAAAACTGGAGGGCACAGCTAAGAGAAAGAACAAACAGCAGTTTTCAACGTAATGCAAAATGGTCCAATGATAAACTAAACGTCGGATAAAGGTGTTCAAACGGATTCAATATGGACTATAACAAACAATAGGTTTAATAAGCAAAACAACAACTTTGCAGGTGCATCACACCTTTTTGTTTCGTACATTTCTTTGCCGTTTTTGCAGTACTGCGACGTGAAAATGCCTAGTTTCGCGTATTATGGAGAATTTAAACAAGCAACGACGAAATTTTATTTCTCTATCTGAACTTGGAGATGGCCGCTTGGAATTCAACTTCAGGAGGGTTCACGTACATTTGACAAAGTAAGTGGGTAGGCATAATCCCTACAAAGACTAAAAGAAGGCAAATTCAGTTTTAAAGCGACGTTCTCGTAGCCGTCGCGTCTTTAAATCTTAAATTCCCTACTCGTCTTTAAAGCAACAACAACTCAAAACTCCAAGAAGGGAAAAAGTTCTAAATCGGTATAAGTCTTTCAAAGAAACCCTGAAGAAGTCTCTTCGGAATGTTTCACATCACACAAATTGCTTTGTCGGTTCAAAACTTGAAGACGTCCGAATGAATTGGCTAAAAAATTGAGTAATACTCACCACCGGCAGACTTTTCCATATTTGGTACCAGAAACACGGATGTTATAGTTCCCGTATGTCCCCCCATGCTCCTCATCTCTCGTCCAGTGTCGGCATCCCATAATTTGAGCATGGTGTCCCGGCTGTCAAAGAATTCAGAAGTGAAGAACTGTTATTACATGATATGCGTAAAAACAAACCTCTGCCGCCGCAGTCATCCAACAATAACTGAATCAGCCTCTACAGAAATCTACAAATACGCAAACAGTCTAGCCTGCGAAAACAGTATGGAATTTTTGTCGCTGGATCGGGTGCAGGTCAATCGCTGAGTCGCAGACGTTCTTCCTCGCGAAACGTCTCCAGCGGCGAGGAACGAGGGGAAACGGCTGTTTTCGTAGGATACAAACAATTTTATTTATATTCGTATAGGTAATAGCATGATTAGTGGTGATATTTGGCATAAATACCACGAGTGATATTTCAAAATTGTTATACGAAATTTCACGAGCCGTTAGGCGAGTGAAATTTGAGACAATTTTGAAATATCACAAGTGGTATTTATGCCAAATATCAGTACTAATCATGCTATTATTTGTTTATACTACTACCCGCAAAACGTTGTAATTTTCACATGTGGGTATTTCAAATTAAGCTGAAATACCACTGCTCTAAACCAATCAAATTGCAGAAATTTCTCATGTAGTAGTATAAAGCTTGAAAGAACAGGTCACTATGAGGCTCAGAGGAATAAAACCCAACAAACCTATTATAGCCTATTTTCCCAGCGCCTCAAGCTGCAGTCTATCGTTGTGGTCCAAAGTTAAATAAATTTTTATCTCATAAATCTCGACCAACTGCCTGGATTCCAGTCGACAATAATTATTTTAAAGCGAGAGGGTCCTGGATACCAGTGAAGCAAGATGCGCAGGGTATTGTGGGAAGGGCAGACAAATCTCTCTTGACCGGTGAGTTTGTTTGGCTAGATTTTAAAAACTGCTTAGTAACAGCTCAGAAATAAACGCAAAATGGTAATTAATGCAAAAAACTCCTTGATATATTTTTTGATGTTTACATTGAAAACTAGATGAATTCCTCTTAACCGTAAATAAAGAACAAACAAGCAAAGTGTAAAATATGACAATAAAATCTCCATTACTAAGCAAAGAATTTGAAAGGGGAGGAAGTTATAATAGTGCTAATGAATAATCTTAGAAAAAGCTTTAATTGTATGACATTTAAGACATAAGTGACAAAGCAAGTTGAGATAAAAACCCGTTCATGATTCCCCAAAACTGCGAAAAAAATATATAAAAAAAACAGCGACATCTTAGAATGCCATACGACACAAGGAATTAAAAAATAACACGATTAGACTCTAGTTAACATTACAAGGCAAACATTTTCTGGTAAACACAAATCCCCTATTAGCCTGAAAAGAAAATAATGCGAGGTCTATATGCAGCAATACGACTGCACACCGAGTAAATAACAGGTAAACGATATGTATTTAAGTCAAAATACCTGCTTTTGTCCTTCATGGTATTAAATAAATAACATGGAAAATATTTTCCACCACCGAATGAAGAAGTGATAACCACCAACTTCGACGTCTACATTTCCATATACGACCGCGTCTGTGAAACAACTTCAGTGCATGATATAACACTGCTTATCAAACTGTAAATAATGGCCTTACGGTAGAGGTTCTTGCAAATTAGATGTAACCAATATGGTCATTAAATATTAAGAAAATAAAACCTGCATGCCTTATCAACCAGCTAACCCTTTTGCCGGTAATATTAATCGCAGATCCCTCAACAGGACCCCGTGTAGGGCAAGGAGATAAGCTAATAGACCTTGGTAGATTCTAACAACTCATGATTCAACTCGCTATGATGTACTGACCCATCATTACAAACCATTCAAAGAAAAAACCCGAAAGAGGCGCTTTATTTTACTAATTTAACGTCACTGCAAACTTTCTGAGTTATCCTTTTAGATTTGACTTGAAAGGACGATTATTTATAATTGATAATTCAACTTACCGCGACCAAACCCGAAATTTTAAACCAATTTATAAATCAGAAGGAAAATTTATAGAACTACAACAAAGAAATCACGTAAAAACTAAAGGCTAACAGAACTTTCATGCAGTTGTAAATAACATTAATTCATCTAGACAAGCTCACACAGTATTTTTGAATAAGATAGAAACCGTAGCCAATCACCACCAGTTTCATAATTGAAAGCCTCTTGTTCCTTACGAAGTTTCCACCCGCAATCTTGCTCTTCATACCTTGGTGTTTTAAGCTAGGCTTGATGCTAGGCGTTTTAGAGCTACCTTGACCTTACGCGCAAATCGTTAATTCCTCACTGAAATTTAAATACGAATGTCAGGGAGGTAAATGGCTCTATTTTAAAAGAAGTGCCAAGATGTTAAAATTATCCGATGATAGCTGTCGAGTAAACTAGCAATGAAATAGCATCTTAAATTCGTCTTTAATCCCCCCACCCCCCCGCCCAAAACAATTCTTTTCTTTAAAAGCAATTGCGTAATTCTAGCGTGAGACCGGGCAAGCGGTGCCGAATTGCACTGCAGGCTCGCGCTGGGCCGAAAACAGTCCCATAGTTTAATTTTGTTCCGTCTTTGTATTTTACATTCCTATGCATTGCTTAAGGTACCATTTTGTGTTATCATTACTGTATCTCGTAGTAGAAGCTCCACGAGAAAACCGTGCTTGAAAATTGGCTTAATACTGGGTTAAACTTAACCATCTTTCAAGGAACCGGGCCCTGAGTTCTTATTTGAGTGTGTGAGCAGTTTTATGAAGCCTAATGTTTGTTACGTCAGCTTCAAACTCCCTGACAGCACTCCAAGGTCCGACTACATTGGTCGCTGTGGCGAGAAGAAAAAAACTTTTGGCAACTTCAAATGCTGAAAGTCGCCAATTCGGGCATTTGCCAAGCCGTATCTATGACCTTTCTGAAGTTTAAGTGAGAGAAATGTTTGCATGAAATAATATTTACGCTCTGTTTTATTCATAATTCGCCTTTTTCTCTCTGACTGTCGAGGTAAGACACCTGTCTTCAGATGTCGCGTGCAACCGCAAATAATTTGATTGCGAAAGAAGGCAGCCATCTAGATTATTTCAAACCTTTCATGCAAATATTACAATCTAACGACCAATATTTTATGTCTGGCGACCATTTAATAATTTCAGTCCAGCAAAAGGCGACTTTGAAAATAGTTGAGCTGGCTTGAAGGACTGTCTGAGGAAAGGTGTACCTTGATAGGAATTTCACGTGAACTGTGAAAGGCTTCTAGAAAAAAAACCTTGGCAAAAACAAATAAATCCTCACAGCAAAAGAATTACTTCACCATTTATGAATCCCACTAAACCACCGTTTCAACCCTGTGCGACGGATTTCTGCTTGTCAAGAAACGTGTCTTTGCTCTCAGATTTCCTCGTTGAAAACGATGGATCGATAACAGTGCTGTGATCAGTACTGTCTACTTCCATCTCTAGTTGCTGATGCTGACTTGATACAACATTAAAACTTTTAGACGCGACTGCTTGGTTCTGATCAACAATTTCTTCAACATCAATTTCATTGATTGCCTCTATCTCCAATTGTTGATGTTTACTTGTAACAGCATTGACGCTTCCAGACGCGACGGCTTCCCCTTGATCAACGCTACTTTCTCCCATATCACTTCCGTTTACACCAGTCGTCTGGTTGCATCCCTCTATCTCAAATTGCTGACCGTCACTTGTTCCAACAGTGATGCTTTCAGTCAAGACTGCTTCTCTAGGGTCAACAACAGTTTCTCCAACATCATTTTCGTTCACACAAGCCGTCTGCTTGTGTGCATCTATCTCTATGTGAGAATTCGTAGGTTGATACTCGGATGTTAAGAATGTTTCGTTCGCGTTTTTTTTACTTTGTAAACTAGTCAAGCGCACCCTAAGGTCGTCGGGGCCTGGGAGCTAGGATTATGGATATTATAGGATGTCGTTTTCAAGAAGTGATGTATCAGCAAAAAAGCACATGGCGAGAGTAAGTGATCTTTACCGAGAGACCGAGTTAGAATTATTAAAACAGTTCTGTTCTTTATCGTGAGCGTGAGTTTATTGTCTGGAGAAACAGTTCCGACATCTACTTGCTGAAGTTCACTTGCTCTCCGCAGACGCGACTGCTTCTCTTTGATCAACACCACCTCCTCCACCACCACTTTCGTTCAAACCAGACGACTGGTAGCTTGCTTCCATCTCTAATTGTTGACGTTCACTTGTTACAACAATGAAGCTTTCAGACGCGACTGACGTTCTCTGATCAACGATAATTTCTCTATCATCACTTCCGTTACCAGTCTTCTGGTTGCTTGCTTCTATCTCTACTTGCTGACCTGCACTTGTAAGAACAATGATACTTTCAGTCGAGATTGCCTCTTTCGGATCAACAGAACTTTCTCCAATATCACTTTCGTTTACAACAGCCATCTGATTGCTTGACTCCTTAATCTCTACTTGTTGATGTTCACTTGCTACAACACTGAAGCTTTCAGACGTGACTGCTTGGTTCTGATCAACAGCATTTTCGTTCACACAAGGCGTCTGCTTGCTTGACTCTTTAATCTCTGCTTGTTGCAGTTCACTCAGTACTACAAGATTGAAGCTTTCAGACGTGACTGCTTGTTTCTTATCAACAGGAATTTCCCCAACATCATTTTCGTTCACAATCGGTACTGCTTGTTTGCCTCTAACTCTCCTGGTTGATGTGTCAGAACATTGCCACTTTCAGACGCGACTGCTTGGTTCTGAACAACAGCAATTTCTTCACCATCATTTTCTTTCACATCAGGCGTCTGCTTGTTTGCCTTTAACTCTACTGATTGATGTGTTACAACATTGCCGCTTTCAAACGCCACTTCTTCCCCTTTATAAACAACAACTTCTCCAACATCACTTCCGTTCACACCAGGCGTCTTCTTCTTTGCCTTTATCTCCACTTGTTGATGTTCGCTTGGTACTGATTCATAGCTTTCAAGATTCTCCTCTCCAGAAAAAACTGAAAACATTTCTTGAGTTTGAAGAACAATATTTCTTCTAACGGGGGCACTTCCTTTAATCGCATCTGACTGCTGTTGTTCATCTCCACTTTGTAAAGTTTCTTTGTTCTGGAGGATAAGGTGATCTTCTCGAAACGTGTGAGATGATGGAGTTGGATTTTTTAGTTTCTTCTTAATATCTATACAAAAATGACTTGGTTCCTTGGACGCTAGAGGATCACAAGTATCTTTTGTGACATCATCAACCTCTGGTATAATCGCAAACCCTTTATGTCTCCTTGACTCTGCAAGCGGTTGAAGATATTCTCCCGAGCATATTGACTTGTCTAACCTTGGATTCTTCGCCTTGGTGCTTGAATCTGAACAATGTCGTTTGTAATTCTGATCTGCAAGCAGATTTTGTGGGATTACAGCAACCTCCCGTGTGCCAAACTCTCCATGTGATTGTGGAGGTGAACTACCATGCTCGATCCTGTTCTTTGGACTGTTCGTTTTTTCTTTGCTTCTGTTCTTGAATCATTTTCTCCTAGGCCCTGATCTTGGCTTTGTTCATTCATATGTTTTCTTTTGAAGATTCTCTTCGCGATGTTAACTCGTTTCACGCAACCTTGTAGCAGATAATTGCCCCTGGTTGAATGCCAAGGAGGCACGATTACCACAGATTGTTATTTTCCAAACAACGTTTCCTTAACAACAGTCATTTCACCTCAAAGACATTTTGCTCAACTGCAAATCAGTGCATTTGCTACGTTTCTTTAAACAGGAAAGAGCAAAAATATTCCAGCGCATCCTTTAATTTTCACAAAGACGATGATACACAAAACAAACCGCGATACTTTTTCACCCGACTTAATCTTAATTAGAAGTTTTATATTTTAGTCCGAGGTAACGTTATGCATAAGGACTTGCAGAGCAAAATGACAGGGTGATTTATGTATCACTAGGGGGGAACTCCCACATCAAAAGTGACGAGGTAAACGTTGAAGGCCTCTCTCTCTCAAAAAAAATCGTTTCCAGAGAGATAGAAAATATGTCTCAACAAAAATTTCTTAGAGTTTTGTTCGAGATTATTGGCGCAATATAGCTGTAACGATTAATTATATAAATTTCACACACCTTCAAAGATATTAAACTGTGAATTCTTACCCTACATGTGCTGACAGTTAACTCCATCTGTTCCGAATGGGAGTTCCGCCGGGGCTTTGTTGCTGATCTAGCATTTATATACTTCCCACGATTAAAGGGGCACTGTCACAGGAATCCTTGTCACATGTTCGTTAAAAAATTATAAGCAAATGTATTTTCTCGATGAAAGGCAACTAGTATATTTGAAATTGCATAGTAGAAAGGACATAAAACGGGCAAAGACAACCATAGACATGTTTTTGTACAATGTTTTTTTAGCAAAACTGTAACATTTGTAATATCAGGGGCATCCAACGGCAATTTTCGGGAAAAGATCTGTTCGGAAGACGATTTGAGATCTAGAATTTTCGGAGCATTTGTTGTAAAATTTCTTGCTTGCCTGCCTCTCCTAGGATTTTCGAACATCTACAAAATGGTATAATTACTCATTTTTAACGGATTTTGACCCTAAAAAAGGCCACCTAGAATTTTCGCGATCCTTTTCCTGGCTGAAATTTTCGAGAAGGCAAGTTTTTATCCCTATAATTTTCGGATCACTAGATTTTCAGCTAGGAAATCCGAACAGATGAAACGTTTTTAGGGGATAAAAATATGCCTATATCTGCCGTTTGAATACTAAAATACGTTCAACAATGCTATGTTAAGTGGTTTTGAACTATATCCTCGTTGGGTGCCCCTGTAATATTATATTTGCAAAGATGTCTTTGGGTTTCTCCATATTACATGACAGTATCCCTTTAAAAGAGGTTCTAAATTAATTCAAATTAGCATGCAACATCTTAGGACTTGCAGAAAAAAGTAATATTTCTAATGTTTATTCTTGGACTAATGCGAAAAAATGTTATACTAATATAAACCTACAGTAGTTCCCAGATAAGCAGCTTGGAAACTTTCACATTCCATTGTGTCGAGTTTTCATGTTTGTACTAAACTAGGTCCATAGAGCCGGCTCTCTTTTTTAGTAGCCTATGAACAGGCTCCCGAGTGGAGCGGACGTGCAAGTTATTCAAGCCGATACTTTGAGCGTAAAGAACATCATAATTTGACAGGTCTAGTTTCCTTATTGACATGCGATTGACATACATGTATGAATTACAGGATGATATATTTATTGCAATTGGGCTGATAAGGAGCATCAAAAGAAAGCCTATAAGCTCTTCCACCATTTTTTCCTTCCCCAGGCCACGCTCAGCTTGCTTCACTAAGGAGCCTGTTCACAGGCTAATTTCTAGTAGCCCGGCAAAATCACTGCTCCCTAGCACTTAATGACAGCACTAAAAGGAGATTCACAACCTCAAGAGTACTGGGATGCATGAGACATCCCATTCAATGAAGCTGAATTTTCTTGCACAATAGTTCAATATGAGAGAAAGTACGGGGGGCTTAAAGAGCTACTTTCACGGGAAAATATAAGAAAAGGAACCAAAAGGAATCCCAAGGAGTTTTCCTTGCTTACTTGGTGTACTTTAACCCAGCAACTTGAAATCTTAGTAACAGTCCCAAAGTGGTTCAGCAATGAGGGACATTCAAAAAGTCTGGCAGCCGTTCTGGGGAAGGGGCCCTGGTTGCTTTACAGGTATGATCGCACCAATGGGATAGCCGTAAAGAATGATCTATGCCTCTGGTGAATATCAGTGAGTTTAATTCGTGAATTAGCCTCCCACAAGTCACCCCCTAATCTCCTAAGTTTAATGCAGGTTAACATTAGCAATCGATCCATCATCCCCGCCTATGTGGAAGAATTTTCCAAACTTTGGCATTACACTCTACCAATTGCATCCTGTCATTACAATTTTTCATCAGCTATCCCAAGCAAGTGACAAAACAAAACCATGTGACTTCAAAGGACTTGTGAAAGTCTAAAATGAGTGTCGACCAGTCATAAAAATTAACTCGATTTCTTACATGGCTAACTAGTAGAAGTGGGTTAACTCACCATGGGTGAAACCACTGGGTTCCTCTCTGATGGATGATTTTCAATTACCTTGGTAACATACATATGTAATGCTCCCATAAACTCTTTATCAACTGGTTTAGCATTCTACATATAATTAACTGAATAATCATGTTCAGTTTGGAGTTATGCCATGAAAATGCCTGTCAAACTCTTCTCATGATTAAGTTTAAAATAACCTTTCAAGCAACCAGACTTAAAACAAGAACTCTTAAGTATTTAAAAAAATGACAACACTACCTTCCAGACACAAGGACAGATCCTCGGCAATCTACACCACATATCAAGTCATTATGGCCATGCAAATTCCTGACTTGAAATCTCATGTAGGTCTGAGTAGAACTTAAAATGGGAGCTGTCCTTGTTGTTGCCGTTGGTACAATGTCAGGTATTGCAGCTGCTGAACTAGGCTCGACAACCGGAGCCTGATCATAAGTTTCATTGATCGTAAGTTCAGTTTCATTTTGAGCATTCTCATTCGCAACCTCTTGTGGACCAACACTAGTAGGTTGCGCTTGATCTTGTGTTTCCTCCCTGCTTGTTTGCTCTTCTTGCTCAGCCAAAACCTGCTCATCCTGATTTCTTTCCATATTTTGCAATTTGGATGTTAACTCCTCTTCTCTGGCTACCAGCTGTTGTACTGTGGAGCGTATTTCATCTTTTTTGGAAAGCTGAAAAGGAGGATAACAACAAAATCTGTTAATTTAATGGCCACACCTACTCCCTTTTCATTGCCAGAAACATTGTTTAAATCAGTTGTAAGATCATCAACAATGAAACCTCAATGATCAAGGCATTTTTTCTACTTTTTGCATTAATACATGTTTTTGTATTTGGATGTTTTTGTAAATTCTGATTTATGGAGCATTTTTAAAGGAAAGATCTTTTATTGTAACCACCTGCACCTTTTGCACCAGCTTTCTTTCTTTCTAAAGCTTCAAACAATGAATTTCATGTAATTTTTTTTTTAATATAATATGTAAGGTTTGCCGTGAATAATTTTTCTTTAAAAAGGATGACGGTTTTGACAGATGTTGTCAGACTGATTTAAATTGCGCATCATTTGAAACACATATTATTGAAAGATTTCACCTCGTTCATGCTAAGGGAAACGAATATAAACTGTGTTTTAAATTAGGAACCAAGCTGATCAAACCCTTAGATAAGTAGAGGATATTACATGGCCGTGCGGAGAAACGAAATTTCTCTTTGAAAATATTTCACGGGTGGGCGCAGTGAACGAGTGAAATATTTTTTCAACACGAGAAGAGAAATTTCGTATCTCCAAGTGGCCATGTAATGTTCCAATTATTATTATATAAACACCAATGAAGTACCAAACCATTTCACTTTAACAGTTTTTTGGTGTGAAAGGCACGATTTATTATGAAGCCATAACAACAGTGATATTTTCACATGTGAAGATAAGATGTTATTTTCACAGGTGAAAATATCAAGTTTTCGCATGAAAGCTCACCTGGGTATTTCATTGGTGTTTATATAATAATATTAATAATTAGCTAGAGTATCCATTTTATGAGATAACCTGTAAATTAATAAGGATGATGAGGACTAAAATATGAAAATCTGTTTCCACAAATGCACCGAATGTTATGTTTTATATGTTGACCAGCTTGCAAAACTCTGGCAAATGGAAGAATATAAAACATGCAAACAGCAACTTAACTCTAAGAAAAAAATTATCAGCATTGGGTTGTAATGATGCTGAGAAACTTTTAAAACAAGACAATATTAAGATAAATATGGTAAAAAATAATTATCATCAGACTATAAAGCATGTACCTTCAACTGAAATTTTCCTCTGGATTTAAGGAAATCAAGCTGTTTGTTTACAATTTGTTTACATACTACATGACTAAAACAAAGGATATTTGGTATGTAAGTTGAAGCGTACAGAGAAGTAGAAGGTCCCTCACAGAAGAGAGTTGTGATCAACAACTCAGCACTAATCATTAAAGGAACTGCAATTAGTGGGTTCATAAAGAAATTCAGAAATTACGATTATTGTTGATACAGATATTACAAGCATAATTACGCTCAGAAATAGGCTTAACACTTTTATTTTGCAAATCCAATCCAAATCTCGATTTGTAATCGAATCAATTTTTATTTAAATCTTAAGCCAGGAGTATAATTTCGTTCAATACACATGTTCTTTGAAAAACCTGAAACCTAAGTTATACAAAGGGAAAAAGCAAACGTGTAAAAGAAGAAGAGCTTTAAAATAATTAATATTTTGTTCTCCTATATCATTTTGAAACATCGTCCATGAGAACGGTTATCGGCAATAATTTACCTTAAAAAATTCCTCATCTGTCAAATCACGTTCTAATTCCTCTAGTTTCTCGATCTGACGAAGTTTTTTCCTGAATTTACGAAGTTCAACAACAATTTTCAGTAGCTCTTCGTCAGCCATTATCCAAACAGTGAAGGGAGAAGACTGGGGCGAGAGGGCTCCTCAATAAACTCGGGGAAGGGAGGGAGGGGCTGTACGATTGTCACCAAGGGTAGTGAAATATCCATCCTCGGGGACCTAGGGGAAGATTGTGGAGCCAAAGGGAAGTCAAAACGGACGTTTCTTCGCGCCATTTTTTTTCCGCTCGTTTAGACTTTCCCTTGCTCCCAAAATCTTCCCCTGGGTCTTCAAGGATGTCAACATCATATCAAGGAAGTTGAAGAGCCTAGCAGATAGATTGTAAAACTCCGGAACAATATTTGAGACTGTTTAGAGTCTTCAGACAGGGGCAAACAACGACGGTTTTCTCTTAAATGCATTGAAAACACTTTTTAGGCAATCCACAATACTTTTAGATCTCTAGAAATGCATTCTAAGCGGCGCTATAGAATTTGTGTCTGTTCGGTCATCCCAGGGGAACTTGAGTCTTTTCGAAATTGCAAGGGCTTCAATATTATTTTCCTGAAAATTTTAGATGCAATTTAACGTATTACGAAGATGAGAATTGTATTCTGATTCCTATTTCCACCACATTTTTGAATCCTTTAACGAAAAATAGCCTAACCTGGGGGTACAATGTGAAAAATTAAACTTCAGAAAATCTTAGGGAAGATGAACTTCAAAAACTGCACAATCCATGAATGGAACGGTCATGTAGAAATAGCCGTCCTCAAGTAATAGAAAATTCTTGGCAATATTTGCTTCTCCGAACGGATGTTTTACAGAAAACAGTCGTTGGGTGTCCCTGTTCAGAGAGGGTAGAATAGAAGCGACATCGTAACGCATATGGAAAACACGATATACGATCTTTTTTACTCCTTAAAAAACACGACTTGAATTAAAAATGGAGCAAAAACCGAACAGAGCCTCTCTCTATCATGTCTTTCAGATTTGCCTCCGGCAATTTACTTCTTTATTATAAACATGGCTCTCTAACTTCCTATATGCATGACGTCTTAAACTGTTCCTACAAATATGACGACAAAAAACTCTTTACGTGGGCAGAACAGCCCAGCCGGGCCAAAGTTCAGGTCGAGGAACATTATATTTTAACATGAGGGAAAAATGATTAACATGAGAAACGAAGTTAATGGTTGACTGAACTGTAACTGCATAAACATGGATATGTATTCCTCTTCCCGGTGAGCGAAAGCTCTACTCAGTAAGCCAGCTAAGAGGACAATATCAGATCGGTAGCTGACATCTTTTTAAGTTTTGAAAAGTGTCGAGTACAGTATATGAAGAGTGGAAACGTTCTGGATGATTACAGCTGCTATCAGGGACTATGACGATAAACATTTGCATTCTATTTCATTTTTCAAAATTGACGAACTAGTATAAACATATATTACACTTAAGATTATAAGAGATCTAATGAATAAAACAGGCTCTGTACAAACAAAATGAAATGAGATATACAACTCCTTGTGTATTTTTTTTTAACAAGTTAAAAGTGGACGCTTAGTCGAGAACATTAGTTTGTCAAGTCACGTATTTCAGTCGTAAAAATCGACAAATTTGTCGGCGGCAATCTTTATGATCATTTCCGGTGTCTGCAAGTATAATTGCAATTTTCCTGGTGTATTCGCTTGGTAGCTTCGAAACAATGAGAAAAGACCATTTCAGTGATTAGAGGTGTACGAATCCACTTAATCTATGACTTAATAGAGTCCACTTGAAATCGAGTCTGCTTGACATGAAGTTTGGCTGTTAATTTCAGAACACATTGAAAACTGGGATTTAAGATCTCCCAAAAATAAGAACGATCATTCATAGCTAGGCCTCAGCTAAAAATTAGGCGTTGACTCCCAAAAGTTTGGAGCGAGCTGTTGAGTTGAGGCCCATAGCGAATTTTAAAACAAGTAAGCCGTTGAAGATTCAAGATTTTTAGGTAGAAGAATAAGTAGATAATTCCATAAACCACATTCCGAGGCCCCCGAAGGTCCTTACGGTTCGTTCCTTGAAAACGGCACATCTTTACTACAATGGTTATTACTGTGTAAGTGCTTCTTTTCAGGTCAAATCATTTCAATCCCTGAAAGAAATTTAGGCTTCTGGGGAAACTCTCCACCTACCCTTCTCCAAAGCCAACATACAATGATATAAACACCAATTTCTCACTTAGGGCAAAATGTTAGCTTAGGGGAGGTAGTTTCCCAGAAGGCCTAGATTGATCCTTCAAAAAAGTGACCATTTCAAATGTGAGTTTCTTCTCTGAGTTGTATTTGCTTGGTACTGTTATTTTGGTGCTGTATTACTATACGAGGAGGTTCTGACCTCGCACCAACGTGAATGAAACATTTAAAGGTGCTTTGAAATGCCCCTGAAGACTCACTTACGAAGAAGATTTAAAACTTGAGATTTTATTGGGGAGGGCTTAAGCCATAATAATCAGATTTGGTGATTTTTACAAGTATAGTATCAAAACGTGAAAAAAATTAGTGCAAATTTTTCAACTTTTTCATCCTTACCATTACAGGAAACAGTTTCAATGCCGACAAATAGTCTTAAATAACAAAACTGGGCCACTTTTTTTGGAATGCAACTGATCGATGCGGAGACACGAACTAGCGTTTTTAGAAAATAGCAAGTCGCGTGACAATTGGCAGTATAAGCGCGTGGTGCGGCTGCTTATCACGCCGTACAAGGGGGTTCTAACTTTTGGGGTTTTCTTAATGGCATTCTAAAATTTACTCATTCAAACGAAAGCTGTTCGCTTCGTTCCCGATAGCTATGGTCATGATTATTATGTTGTGCAAAGTCATTCTTAGTTTTGAATATTTCTTATCAAAAATGTGACCATTCAAGTGAAAAATACAGAGCAGAACTTTCCTGGTGCAAGAATTTTAATTTTACTGTTTTGTGGTGTGAAAAGAAGTATCAACAGATCTTCTGGATCTCAGACACTGAAAAAAAATCGAAATTCACGTATTTGGTAACTTCCATTAGATAGTAGTTGAGTTTTTATTTTGATTCTTAATTTGATTCATATAAGGCTAAGAATCGAGGCTAGTGCTTTCTTAAGAGGCCATCCGATCTTTACAGACTATCGGATGTTGCCACTTTCCCGGCCCACAGCAATCAGAGATCTTGGACTATTTAACTGAGATAATAGAGAGGAAGTGTCGTCACTTCAATTTTTGAATGACAACAAACCTATAAAGTCACTTAAAAGTCTATTAGTATTATTTCAAACTTCACTTATCTTATTCAGTTTCATTTAATTTGGCAAATCTCGGCGAAGTTTTCTTTGGGACCGTATCTATCGTTATCTAAGTTTAGAAAAAGAAAGCGACAATTTTTGTGTTGTCTTCTGACCTACTCCATAAAGCCGGCTCGTAAAGTTAGGAAGTTTCATGTTGTAGTGATGCAACGACGGCAAAGAAATGTACAAAATAGCGTGATGCACGAGCAAAGTTGAGCGTGGTGCACGTGCAAAGTTGTTGTTTGTTAATATTAACATATTAGTTTTTGCCGTTCTCCTTCCCATATATCGCCGTCGTAATTGGTTTTGTTGTCATCCAGAAATAGTGCTACCGTGGTAATGCGACATCACTTGTCCTTCCTTTGAACTTCCTGTTTTTCCTTCTTCCTTGCTTCATCCGCAATCATTCGTATGCGTGTCTCGTTCGGTTACTAAAATGGTATCCTACTTCGTGTCTAATTTGAAAACTTATAAAAATGCGCATCAAAATTAGAAAAAAGAAAATAGCACGAACTTCTTGGAGCAAAGTTTGACCTCTCAAACAAGCGCTCACTTATCAAATTTGCATTTCATTTTCTATATAAACGATTTGTGGTAGCGTCGATTTTTCATTCCTTGACTGCTCATATCCAGTTGCACTTCAACTTGGCTTTGTCCTAACTCACAGCACCACGTAGGTAAGGTGAGGTGATCAGACAAAAATATTATATCCTACGATTTCCGACACGTTGATAATTAACTCGCCTTGTATCACTACCCTTTCATGTTGGCGGAAAATACGGCAGAGTAGCATTCATTTTAATTGTAAAAGAATCGGAATCGTCCTCACAAGGTATTAGGGACCTTAAGATCCGACGACGGCGACGGAAACAAGGACGTCAAAAAAGAAAACAACAATTTTGCACGTGCATCACGCTTTTTTGTACATTTCTTTGCAGTCACTGCACGACTACGACGTAGTCAGGGGCACCAAACGTCAATCTTCGGAAAATATCTGTTCGGAAGACGATTTGAGAACCAGAATTTTCGGAACATGCATTTTTTGTAAAATTTTCTTGCTTGCCTACCTCTCCTAGGCTTTACGAACATCTAAAAAATGGTATAATTGCCCATTTTTAACGGATTTGTACCCTAAAAAGCTCACCTAGAATTTTCGGGAGCATTTTTTCTGGCTGAAATTTTCGAAAAGGTAAGTTTTGATCCCTATAATGTTCGGATCACTAGACTTTCAGCTAGGAAATCCAAACAGATGAAAAATTTTTTAGAGGATAAAAATATGCTTCTATCTACCGTTTAAATACTAAAATACATTTAACAATGCTATGTTTAAGTGGTTTTGTACTATATTCTCGTTGGGTGCCCCTGCGTAGTTGCAGCCGGCCCACGCACTCGTCTAAACCATATAGAGGGTTTAGAGCGTCTTCGACGCAGGCTACTACGACGTGAAAATGCCTAATTTCAATCTTTACAGAGGAAGTACACAAGCGACGACGAAATTTCCTCTCTATTTCTGAACTTAGATATGGTTCTTAGGAATTCAGTTTTAGGAGAGTTAACCTACATTTGACTTGGAGTAATCGCAATGAAGATTGAAAGAACGCGAATTCACTTTTTCAGAGACGTTTTCGCTGCCGTCGTCGTCCTCGGATCTTAAGGTTCCTATTGTTCGCCATGGAACTTGAGGCATGAATTACTTGTGAATGACAAAAGCCATCTGAAGTCTATCTTCACCCCGACTACCTAGAAGTGGGATAATTCTTCGAGCGTTTGTATATGTTTCGCCAAAGATTATCAATTTTTTTTTTTCAAAAAAAATAGACCTACATATTTGTTGCTTAAATTAGCAAAAAAACGTTCTAAAGGGAATGCCTTAATTTGGTTGATGTGAGTTAAAGCTGCTTCGTGGCTTGCCCCAAACACAGCAACTGTTGTAGTAACGTTTCCTTTGACAAAAGATTTGTAAGTGTTTCACCGCTCGGACGTTGTAAAACTTTGCTATGCATCATAAGGTTCTTTTAACACTTTGGGGATCGTTTCCGCCAATTAAGCCTCCGGCCATGATTTTTGGTAACATTCTGTTTTTTGTTCCTCAGTTTAAACAGCTTGAAATCTTCTTCGCATTCTGAGTTCAGCATGATAGGAAACACACAGCAAAAGTTGAGGGAGCATATCTGCAGAGATAAACAGAGAAGCATCAGTAAAATCACCATTGTGGGTGTAGGACAAGTAGGAACAGCGTGTGCGTACAGTATTATGCAGCAGGTAATGCCATTAGACAGGTAAATTTAAGGATCACGTTTACGTCAAAAGGCAAACGCGAATTTGTACCACGTGATCAAGTTTCCTATTTATTTGTCGTTCACTGATGTTCATTATTTCTACGCCTAAATTATAAAGTGGGAAACAAAACTGGCTATAAGACAAATGGAAAAAAGTAGGCGAGAAAGAAGGATCGAAATAGATTCGCAAACCAAAAAATAAAGTCCAAATCTTCGTCCAACGTTCTGAAAAGAATCACACAAACAAGAACGAAAGGCGCCCCAGCGTTTGAAAATTAATGTAATGTTCTTCTTTTTGATTTCTAGGATATATGCCAAGAACTTGCTTTAATTGGAAGACGCCAAGAGATTCTTAAAGGAGAAATGATGGACTTACAGCACGGTTTGCCGTTTGTGGAGGAAACTTCCATCCGTGCTAGTACTGGTAAATCAGCCTGATAGTCTGAAAAAGGGAAAAGCTCGAAAATAGAGAATTTTTAAACTCATACTACTGGAAAACTTGTCCAATATAAACTCTTTTCAAACGTGTTAAAAAAAAACCCAGCGTTTCTCGTTTTAAATTTATCTAAAAAGACAAAGAGCAGTTGAAAATTTCGTCTTGGGAAGAAAAACGTCCTAAAATCATAATAAAAGAAAAATTGAAGTCAGGAGCGATTACTACATTGGAACAAGAATGGAACAGCTCGCAATTTCCAGATAATCCTTTAATTCTTAGCATAAAATAGTGAGGAGCTCAAAACAATAATCTATAGGGATTTCAAGTAATCGAGCGATTTTCGTATGACCTTGAAATGAAAACGCGCGAACAAAACAGAAACAACAAACTAACGGAAATAGAGCGACTTGATTGGTTTGTCGAACGGATACAAAAGCGCGTGGCTTTTGGTTCGTTAAGCGAACGTTCAGGTGAAAAAACGTCATGTCCGAAGAACTTTGTAGAAATCAATCTACACTTCGCTTTGACGTCATACTGCAACACGATTGGCAAATCGAACAATGCCTTCTCCATATTAAGGTTTTCTTTGGCGGGAAAACGAAGAGTCCATGTTTTGATCTTTCATCTATTGCCTGATAAAACAAATAACGAACACTTACAGAAATCATTTTTCAAGGTCATACGAAAATCGCTCCACTGTGTGTATCATAAAGATTATTTTGGTTCCAGTCGGCGCTGAAGAGTAATGAGAGTTCTCCTTTATTTTTGTAGACTATGCTGTCAGTGCCAACTCAAACCTGTGCATAGTGACAGCGGGCGAACGTATGAGAGAGGGTGAGAGCAGAAGAGATCTGCTGCTAAGAAACTTTGAGATTTTCAAAGGTAGATGCCTTCATCATGCAGTAATTTAACAATTAACTTATAATCTTTTACGATGTCTTTTCATAATGTGAAGCAAACAATCACTTCCATTTTGTTAAGTCGAAGGTTTCTCTGCAGAAAATTCCCGCGTGGTTGAGAAGGTTCAGAACTCAATGCGTGATGGTCAAAAACAGTCAAATTCTTAACCCTAATGAAGGATGAACATAATCTGGTACCAGATCTCCCACAGCCAGCGTCACTTTTTAGCGTAAGAAAGAATGAGATCTGGGTACTAGATTAGGATAAACAACGACTGTTCCTCTTTTCGTATCTGTAAACAGTCATTATTAACAGACATTCCCAGTGAAAAAAAATGGAGAATAATATTTATCAACTATCAATCCTTTTTACGCCCGGTATTAAATTATGTTACAGCGTATTGCACAAGCGTGGAAACGTTCGGTCACACCGTAGGCCCGTAATTGCACATACACATTGCGGACCTATAACTGTATTGCCGCACAGATTGAAAGATTACGTACGTGCTCGCCGCCATGATGAAATGAAACTCTGTGTTTAGTTTGCCTATTTAAAGTATACAGCCGGTTGAAAGTATACAATAGGCATGCGCAGATTTAACAAAGACCACGAGACTTAACCAAGCGACGACAGCGAGAACGGCGCGCAGATCTCCATTCATCGTGATTTCAGCAGATTATTCTCTTCTAGCCTTGAAATAAAGAGATGGAAATATAGTAAAAATTATTTGGTGTTTGAAATAAATTTACATCTAATTTTAAAACGTTTATAATGGATAAAGTCGTCTATTTTACAGATATCATTCCAAAGTTGGTAAAGCACAGTCCCAATACCGTACTGCTGATTGTTTCTAACCCAGGTAAGAAAAAAAAGCTAAAGATCTACAAAGTGCTTACTGTGATCAGGAAACCTTAAGCAGTTCTTAAGAAAACTAGAAAGCTCCAAACTTTTTTTGAAAAACTTGAGGATATCGTAAACACGAAAGTGGACAAAGGCTTGTTAAGCCAGTTTCCACCAAGAAGGCTACGTTTCCTATGATGCGAGTTTCGACCAGTTCAAAATTCCTACGTTTAAGTGTTCGGTTCACACGGGAGTCACCTTAGCACTGGGAAGATTTAAACGCCTAGCAGTTCTAAGTTCCCTGTAAATAGAGTGAACGTAATTGAAGGGTCCCGGGTGAACGAAGGGTCAGGTAAATTTTTCAGCCGCTCCAAAGTTTATTTGGTACCCGTGTGAATGTAGCCTAAGATTGCTTACGACGTGGCACTGAATGTATAGAGTGTTTTCACATGACGTCACGGCGGCCATGTTGGGAATTTAACACTTTTCTCATGTAAACGCTTTCTTTTGTTCCAATAAATTTGCATAGACGCTGGCCACGTGAAAACCGCTCTATAAGACACCCACGACTACTGCCACTGCCGCATTCACTAGTATAGCGATATCTGTTTTTTCGTTATGTTTCAGTTGAGGTCTTGACGTACGTGGCGTGGAAAATCAGCGGTCTTCCAGCTGATCGTGTGATAGGAAGTGGAACCAATCTGGACACAGCTCGGCTTCATTTTTTGATCGGCGAAAAGCTAAACATCCCACCAAACAGTGTGCATGGCTGGATCATCGGAGAACATGGCGACTCTAGTGGTACGTAAAGGAAGAATCGCAAGTCACTCTCTCCTACCGTTTTTAACACGGTTAAGACATCCTTCCCCCACCCCGCCGTTAACCACAACACCCACAGACTAGTCCCAGCACTACCTTTACCGTAATCTTTCTTGAACTTGAGTGAACATCAAAGATCCACCGTAGGCTTCTTCTGCGTCATAATACGAGCAGTCTCTCATTGCTCTCGGGGAGAATAGATCGCAGTAGATATGCGAACCAAATACTAGAACGCCGTGGAAATTGCCTCCATAAAGAGAGTTAACTCGCGTAATCGCATTTAGGCTCTCTGACAGAAAAAAGATCAGCTTGTCAACGTTTCTCGCGGGTGTCAAATTTCACCCGCGCTCATATATTTTTTTCTTTCCAAAAAATGAAGGACTGCATATACACCAACTAAATGTAAGATCGCTCAATCGCTCAATCTGCAAAGCACCCTAGTTTGAGTGTTCCACCCATGTTTTCGATTTGTTTCGCAAATGAAACGAAACATCGAGTTTTTCACTCCTTCTTTTACCATAAATTTGCATAATTTTACTTTTTCACTCGCCCCCCGTGGCTCTGAGGAAAGAAAGGCGACCGCTCTTGTGTCCGTTTTCGATTTACAAAATCGCGATTCAGGGTAATTCCCTTAAAAAATAATTTCTTTGCTGCTGTTTTTATACAGTGCCTATTTGGAGTGGAGTGAATATTGACGGCGTGATGCTCAAGGATCTCAACCCACAGATAGGCACAGAATCGGACCGTGAAAACTGGAACGAGATTCACAAGAAAGTTATTATGAGGTACAGTCGTAGAATTCGTTCGCGTTCACGGACGCGCGCCTTAATTTCCCTTCAAACGCCGTGAACCATTGCCTTTCGTTATAGTACAAAACAGAAGCAGATAACCTATATGCTTCTGTACAAAACTAATGAATTGTAGCTTGCGTGGATGCGCCTCCATTGAGTTCTCGCCCGCCTTTAATTAAGTCCCTCTTCAAACGAGGTTAGTTATAAGTAAAGCAGACTAAACTCAGAGGGCCGATTATTAAATCCAAGACAAACTTGGACCTTTATTTATTACTCTTTCCACAACATTTCAGTTTTGTCTCATGGCGCGAAAGGACACCTCATTTTCATGTGTTCACGTGAACATTTGAAAATAAACTCCATAGTCCATGTTCGATTGTTAAAGCTGGCCTTTTTTCCTATTTAGCGCATATGAAGTGATTAAACTCAAGGGCTACACCTCCTGGGCAGTTGGTCTCAGTGTCGCTAACATTAGCAAGGCGTTACTAGGAAATATGGCGAACGTCCAGGCCGTCTCCACCATCGCAAAGGTAACTGACTTTCCATGTTGACTTTCAAAACCTTCCTTTCTTTTTCTCAAAACAAAAGTTAGCACGCTTATTTCTGTTGAAGGAGGTAAGACCCTCTCTAGATCGCTAAATGATAAAATTCCTAAGATTTGACACCTTGGGTCAGCCACAACGAAATTCTTGCTAAAACTCGTAGTAGACTGGCGACAGCTCCCACATTTTCCCGCCAAAATGACGTTAGTTGGCGCGCGTGCCCAGCTTTTTTCCAGCCTCGTTTTCTACACGAGACAAGTGTGCATTGGAGCCTTACGTTTCTTATCAAACTTTTACTGCTGCTTTTCCTTTTGAAGCGACGAATCATTCGAGATTCGGGCATTAACTTTTAATTACATCAGTACATTTATTTGTTATAACATTCCTTTACAAAAGCTGTCACCGTCAGCGTGGACAATTCTTCCTTAATGTCAAAGATATGTAATTTGACTTAGTCCTCATGTCTATGATGCGGCTCTGAATTGCAGCCTCCAAGCTCTCTCTTTTTTGCCGTTCCATGATAGTATCAAAATAGCCTGAGATCGTTCTCGTCCCAAGAGCCCGGCCGTCGTTTCGTTTGGTCACGTGGCCGAGATTTATGTAGTGGATGTATGTAAAGGCATTGCTCATTAACCATCCTTTTTTTTTTTTTTTAGGGATTTTACGGGATCAAGGAAGAAGTTTTCTTGAGTTTGCCCTGCGTTCTTGGCACCCATGGGGTCAAGTCCGTCGTGAGCCAGCAGCTAGATGAAAACGAGGTTAACCAAATTCAGGGATGCGCGCGCATCATGCAAGAGCTGCAGCAATCTTTGGTGTTTAATTGAGTTCGAGATAAAACAGGAAAAACGACAATAAGCACATGCACGACTTGCAATCATCGTGTCTTTTTTCTTGCCGACGAACAAGAAATTGAAATAATTTTATTTCGTTTTCATTACACGATTTCACGTAGACCGTATGTATTGGAATATCTTAGCAAAAAACCTTTGGTTTTAGCGAGACAGGCAATCGGTCCCCCTACAAGGGCCTAGGACTAGATCATCATCTGGGGCCATCCTTTGTTTTTTTCTGAGAAATTGCGTCAGAATAAATCAATTAGACGTTGGTCAGTTAATATAAGATAAAAATGATAGAAATGTGGGAGATGATATTGCTGCGCACCGTCAAGTCCACAAACAACGTAAACAATAAAGAAGTCCGAAGGGCTTCATAACAATCCCACTCTATTAACTATAGTGAAGCTGATCAAACCCTTAGATAATATTAATAATTAGCTAGTATCAGTTTTATGAGAAAAGCTGTAAATTAATAAGGATGATGAGGATTTAAATGTGAAAATCTGTTTATACAAATGTAGAGACTGTTTAATGCTTTATCTGTTGACCAGCCTGTACAACTCTGACAAATGGTGGAATAGAAAACATGCAAACAGCAACTTAACTCTAAGAAAAAAAATATGAGCATTGGGTTTTAATGATGCTGAGAAACTTTTAAAACAAGACAATATTAAGATAAATATGGTACAAATGATTATTATCAGACTATAAAGCATGTACCCTCACCTAAAATTTTCCTCTGGATTTAAGGAAGCTGTTTGTTTACATACTACATTACTTAAGCAAAGAATATTTGGTATGCAAGTTGAAGCGAACAGAGAAGTAGAAAGTCCCTCACAGAAGAGACTTGTGATCAACAACTCAGCACTAATCATTAAAGGAACTGCAATTAGCAGATTCATTAAGAAATTTAGACATTACGATTATTGTCGATACAGAATGATCCAGAATAATTTTATTAGTAAAGGTAATAGCATTATTTGTAGTGATATTTGGCATAAATACCACGAGTGATATTTCAAAACTGCTATACGAAATTTGAGACAATTTTGAAATATCGCAAGTGGTATTTATGCCAAATATCACCACAAATCATGCTATTATTTGTTTATACTACTACCCACAAAACGTTTGTAATTTTCACATGTAGGTATTTCAAATTAAGCTGAAATACCACTACTCTAAGCCAATCAAATTGCAGAAATTTCTCATGTAGTAGTATAACAAGCTTAATTAAGCTCAGAAATGGGCTTAACACTTTTGTTTTGCAAATCCAATCCAAATCTCGATTTGTAATCGAATCAGTTTTTATTTAAATCTTAAGCCAGAAGCATAATTTCGTTCGATACACATGTTCTTTGAAAAATCTGAAACCTAAGTTCTACAAAGGGAAAAAGCAAACGTGAAAAAGAAGAAGAGCTTTAAAATAATTAATATTTTGTTCTCCTATATCATTTTTAAACATCGTCCATGAGAACGCAATAATTTGCCTTAAAAAATTCCTCATCTGTCAAATCATGTTCTAATTCCTCTAGTTTCTCGATCTGACGAAGTTTCTTCCTGAATTTACGAAGTTCAACAACAATTTTCAGTAGCTCTTCGTCAGCCATTATCCAAGCAGTGAAGGGAGAAGACTGGGGCGAGAGAGCTGCTCAATAAACTGGGGGAAGGGAGGGAGGGGTTGTACGATTATCTCCAACGGTAGAGAAACATCCATCCTCGGGGACCCAGGGGAAGAGGAAAGTCAAAAGGAACTTTTCTTCGCGCCATTTTTTTCCGCCCGTTTAGACTTTCCCTTGCCCCCAAAATCTTCCCCTGAGTCTCTGAGGATATGAAACATCATATCAAGGAAGTTGAAGAGCTTAACAGCCAGCTTATAAAACTGCAGAACAATATTTAAGACTGTTTAGAGTCTTCAGACACTGGTCAGAGAGGGTAGAATAGAAGCGACATCGTAACGCATATGGAAAATATGATTTACGACCTTTTTTGACTCTTTAGAAAACACGACTTGACAAAAAATGGAGAAAAAACCGAACAAAGCCTCTCTCTATCATGTCGTTCAGAGGTGCCTCCGGCAATTTACTTATTTATTAGAAACATGGCTCTCTAATCAGGGGCAACCAAAGACAATTTTTGGAAAATATCCGTATCTGTTCGGAAGACGATTTGAGATCTAGAATTTTCGGAACATTTATTGTAAAATTTCCTGCTTGCCTGCCTCTCCTAGGATTTTCGAACATCTAAAAAATGGTATAATTGTCCATTTTTAACGGAGTTTTACCCTAAAAAGGTCACCTGGAGTTTTCGGGAGCCTTTTTTCCGGCTGAAATTTTCGAACTGAAGGTAAGTTTTGATCCCTATAATTTTCGCATCATTAGACTTTCAGCTAAAAATCAGATGAAAAACTTTTAGGGGATAAAAATATGCCTATATCTACTGTTAAAATACTAAAATACGTTCAACAATGCTATGTTTAAGTGGTTTTGAACTATGTTCTCGTTGGGTGCCCCTGTCTACCTTCCTATATGCATGACGTATTAAACTGTTCCTACAAATATGACTAAAAAAAAACTCTTTACGTGGGCAGAACAGCCCAGCCGGGTCAAAGTACGGGTCAAGGAACATTCAGTATTTTAAGATGAGCAATATCAGGAAAAATGATTACTATGAGAAATGAACTAAATGGTTGACTGAACTGTAACTGCATAAACATGGATATCTATTCCTCTTTCCGGTGAGCGAACTCTACTCAATAATCCAGCTAAGAGGACAATATCAGATCGGTAGCTGACATCTTTTTAAATCTTTTAAAAGTGTCGAGTATATGAACAGTGGAAACGTTTTGGATACTATCAGGGACTATGACGATCAACATTTGCATTCTATTTCATTTTTCAAAATTGACAAACTAGTATAAACATATATTACACTTAAGATTATAAGAGATCTAATGAATAAAACAGGCTCTGTACAAACAAAACGAAATGAGATATACAACTCCTTGTGTATTTTTTTAAACAAGTTAAAAGTGGACGCTTAGTCTAGAACAACGGTTTGTCAAGTCACGTATTTCAATCGTAAAAATCGACAAATTTGTGGGCGGCAATCTTTATCATTTCCGGTGTCTCCAAGTACAATTACAATTTTCCTGGTGTATTCGCTCGGTAGCTTCGAAACAACGAGAAAAGACCATTTTAGCGATTAGAGGTGTACGAGTCCACTTAATCCATGACTTAATAGAGTCCACGTGAAATCGAGTCTGCTTGACATGAAGCAGGTGATGAAGTTTGGCTGTTAATTTCAAAACATCTTGAAAACTTGGATTTAAGGTTTACATCTCCCAAAAATAAGAATGATCATTAATAGCTGGGCCTCAGCTAAAAATTAAGCCTTGACTCCCAAAAGTTTGAAGCGAGCTGTTGGGTTAATTCTAAACCAAACTGGAATTGAATTTTGGATCCCGTTACAGAATGTTATCTAAAGGTTGCGAAAGACCAGACACATATTCGCTATTTTCATCATAGCGAATTTTACAACAAGTAAGCCGTTGAAGATTCTAGATTCTAAGGTGGAAGAAAAAGTAGATAACTTCCTAAAGAACATTCCGAGGCCCCCGAAGGTTTTTCGGTATCAAGGGGTCCTTACGGTTCGTTCCTTGAAAACGGCGCATCTTTACTACAATGGTTATTATTGTGTAAGAGCTTCTTTTCAGGTCAAATCCTTTCAATCCCTGAAAGAAATTTACGTTTCTGGGAAACTGCCCACCTTCATCTCCCCTATGCCAACATAAACACCAATTTCTCACAGTACGGCAAAATGTAATAGAGGAGGAAGTTTCAAAGAAGCTTAGATTGATTTTTCAAAAAAGTGGCCATTGCAAAAGTAAGTTTCTACTCTGAGTTATACTGTTTGCGTGGTACTGTTATTTCGGTGCTGTATTACTATACGGAGAGGTTCTGACCTCGCACTAACGTGAATGAAACATTTAAAGGTGCTTTAAAATGCCCCTGAAGACTCACTTACGAAGAAGATTTAAAACTTAAGATTTTATTGGGGAGGACTTAAGCCATAATAATCAGATTTGGTGATTTTTACAAGTATAGTATCAAAACGTGAAAAAAATTAGCGCAAATTTTTCAACTTTTTCATCCTTACCATAACAGGAAACAGCGTCAATGCCTAAGAATAGTCTTAAATAACAAAACTGGGCCATTTTTTTGGAATGCAACTGATCGTCCTGATCGATGCGGAGACACGTGCTAGCGTTTTTAGAAGATAGCAAGTCGCGTGACAGTTGGCAGTGTGGTGCGGCTGCCTATTACGCTGTACAAGGGGGTTCTAACTTTTGGGGTTTTCTTAATGAAATTCTAAAATTTACTCATTCAAAGGAAAGCTGTTCGCTTCGTTCCCGATAGCTATGGTCATCTATATTATGTTGTGCAAAGTCATTCTTAGTTTGAATCTTTTTTATCAAAAATGTGACCATTCAGGTGAAAAATACAGAGCAGAACTTTCCTGGTGTAAGAATTTTAATTTTGCGGTTTTATGGTGTAAAAAGAAGTAATAACCTTCTGGATCTCAGCTACCGACAAAAAAAAAATCGAAATTCACGTAGCTGGTAACTTCCATTAGATAGTAGTTGAGTTTTTATTTTGATAAGGCTAAGAAATCAAGGCCAGTGCTTCTAAAGAGCACATCTGATCTTTACAGACTATCGGATGTTGCCACTTTCCCGTCTGCCCAAAATAATTAGGGATCTTGGACTATTAAACTGAGATAATTGTCCTCCCCTTGAACTTCCGATTTTTTTTCTTGCGGTCGTCCGCACCCATTCGCATGCGTGTCACGTTTGCTCACTAAAATAGTATCCTACATCGTGTCTAATTTGAAAATGTTTTAAAATGCGAACCAAAATTAGAAAAAAAAAACTGCTTGGAGCAAAACTTTGACCTCTAATTCAATGCAAAGAAAAATGACAAACAAGCGCTCTCTCATCGAATTTGCATTTCATTTTCTATATAAATGATTTGTGCTAGTGTCGTTTTTTCATTCCCCGACTGTTCATATCCAGTTGCACTTCAACTTGGCTTTGTCCTAACTCACCACAACACAGGTAAGTGAGGTGAGGCCGACAAAAATATACTACGATTTCCGACACATTGATTATGTAACGCACCTTGTATCATTACCGTTTCATGTTTGGCGGAAAATAGGGCAGAGTAGCTTTCATTAATTCTAAAAGAATGAAGCGTCCTCGCAAGGTATTAGGGACCTTAAGATCCGACGACGGCGACGGCAACGAGGACGTCAAAAAAGCAATAGGTTTAATAACCAAAACAACAATTTTGCACGTGCATCACACTTTTTTGTACATTTCTTTGCCGTCACTGCACGACTACGACGTAGTTGCAGCCGGCCCACGCACTCGTCTAAACCATATAGAAGGTTTAGAGCGTCTACGACGTGAAAATGCCTAATTTCAGTCTTTACAGAGGAAGTACACAAGCGACGACGAAATTTCCTCTCTATTTCTGAACTTGGATATGGTTCTTAGGAATTCAATTTTAGGAGGGTTCACCTACATTTGACAAAGTTAGTGACTTGGAGTAATCGCAATGAAGATTGAAAGAAGGCGAATTCACTTTTTCAGAGACTTTTTCGTTGCCGTCGCCGTCCTCGGATCTTAAGGTTCCTATTATTCGCCATGGAACTTGAGTACAAACATTAACCACAAGGGACTGCAAAGGACCGCAAACAAATATGCCGAAGAACGTATGATCTATAAAGACCTGATCAGCAAAAATAATAATGTAGACATATTAAATTCTGCAAGCAGAATACTGCAATGCTGATAGTACTACGTGATAATTAACTCTGCAATACATCAACACGACACCGAAAGAACCCAAAACAGCTCTCTATCGCTACAATCACGCTCTGCGATGGAACTTGAGGCATGAATTACTTGTGAATGATAAAAGAACAGTCTAGCTTCCTGCCCAACAAACATGTCTCCCAAGTATTATACAAAACGATTCAAACACAAAAAAAATGAACTTTGAAAAACTGCTAGCGTAACTGAGAAGTTTTCCAAAACGACAATTGCAATCCGTTTTAATCTTCCAGTTTAAGTTTGTCCATCCATGCGTTCTATCTGCTGTGTTACATATACCTTCTTGTAATGTCTTGAACGGTTATTTTTACGTTTCACTCAGTTTGGTGGCTGTTGCTATTTGAATGTTTTGAGAATCTCGCTAACTTTGCAATATCTTGACAGGGACGAAACATTTGTTGAGAAAAAAGGGCTTATAAATTGTTATTATCTTTTTTTGTTTTACTTCAAAATGAAATAATTAGACGATTTTTTGGTGAAAAACGGTGACGAGAGTATTCTTATAGCCAGGGTCTTAAAAATGTTAGCTAGTTGAATTGAAAACTTTATGCTAAAAGACCTGTGAACTAAGTATAAAGCCATCTATAGGAGTGGAATAATTCTGCTAGCGTTTGTATATTTGTTTAGCCAAAGGCTTTCAATATATTTTTTTCAAAAATATAGTCCCACATATTTGTTGCTTAAATTAGAAAAAAAAAAGTTCTAAAGGAATTGACATTGCGGGTTGATGGGAGTTAAAGCTGCTTCGTGGCTTGCCCCAAACACAGCAACTGTTGAAGTAATGTTTCCTTTGACTAAAAATTTGTGAGTGTTTCAAGCAGATCAGTACGTTGTAAAACATTCTAACTGTGTACAAATTATTTCATTGAGCACATTCCGAGGCGCCGAAGGTTTTCTTTGGTGTAAACAACAGTTTGTCATGGTCTTTCCGGATGACTTTCTAATCGCTTATAAAGTTTCGCATCGCGTATGTTTTTATCTTCCTTCATGCAGTTTTCTAGTTCTTAGACCCAGTTCAAACGTCGAACTTTTGAGGAGGGCTCATTAACTTTCTTCCCCTGAAAATGTGGGGCTTACATGAGGGAGAAGGCTTATCCGTGAGAGGGTGGGCTTAATAGAGGATTTAAGGTAATTCAATAGAGGTTGCAGCGGTTTGGAAATTGGCCAAAAATAGGAGACGTCTGCACGCAGGCAAGCTGATATACGGTTTGTATCAATGTGTAACCATCCAAATGCAAGGTACTATTATCCAATAAGGAACTTAGAGGATCGACGACGATCGCAACGAAACGTCGAAAATCGATAGGTCGCCATTAACCAAGACTCGGAAAAATTACCATCACAATTGTATTAGATAAAGATGGAAAATTGTCATGAGAAATGAAATGACGCCATTACCTATTTTACTTGCATCCAAATCTTCGCACTGGCAAATGTTCTTCCAAAATATTTTCTGCTACAACTTTTCGCGACCTGCAACTACAAACTTGTTTTGTTTTTTTTTTCTTCTTATAGTCAAAGCAGGTTTGATTCGTGGGTAGTAAAGAGTGCAAATCGCTCTACAACTATTTAGCATAACAATGTTTCAAAACGTTTTTGCTGCCCTTTTAAATGTAGTTAAAAACCCGAGAGGGTTACAATTATTATTTCAAAAATTGAACAGATTAAAGTACAAAACAAAACAACTAGAACAAAACTACTAGACAACAAAAAACTACTTTCGTGTTACACCAGTACATTTAATTCTGGTTGCTGATTACTAGATTTGCAACCTTCGTAGATAATCTCCCTTGATACACCTTTGGAAAGTTTTTCCCACTTCAACTCTCTAGTTTGGACATGGACCAAGAAAGTGCAACTTATTTTGCTACATTGCTGGATGCATGTGCAAAACCAGTTGCATGTCTTTTCGTTGCCCGATTCACCGTTGCTTTAGTTGTGGTTGAATTTTGTGCCAAGGATTAACTTTTATCCAAAACAATAATTACATATTAATGATAAGATAGAATATGTTTTAATTCTAAAGAGTCCGTTAAAGTAAACATTTACTGTTGTAACTTCAGCTCTAATTCCTTCCGATGAAGACTCTTGTTGGCATCTGCTATATATAAATCGAATTCTTTTCTTATTTTTTCAAACTGTGATTTTAGTCCTTTGCAGTTGTTTATGTTCAATTTTTGCATTGGGTACAGATAATTACTTTGTAATTTTTATATTGTTGCACTTGTTTTTATTGGCTGGACAACCAAGGCTCTATAGCGGACACGAAGAAGGTGTCAGGGGCCGTAAAGAGACCGCAGCAAATTAGAGTCTTGTGGCCAACCACAGAAGAATTGAGTTTGCTCTAAGCAGGTGGTCTATCTCTGGCCAGTTTAAAAGGAAAAAATGCAACAATGTTATATTAGTCAGGGGAGAATTGTAATCTTAGAGTGAGTTTCTTCAGGCCAGTTAAACAGAGGTAAAGTCTTTTTAAAAAGTTTTTTGGTGATATCCGTGGCTAGATCTCCTCAAAAAGAAATTCTTTTAACACTTTGGAAATTATTTCCACCCAGCCTCCGACCATCAATTTAGTAACATTTTGTTTTTTCGTCCTCAGATTAAACAGCTTGAAATCCTCTTCGCATTCCGAGTTCAGTATGAAAAGAACCACACAAGAAAAGTTGAGGGAGCATCTCTGTATTGACAAAGAGAAAAGCATCAGCAAAATCACCATAGCGGGCGTAGGAAAAGTAGGCAGCGCGTGCGCGTACAGTATTATGCAGCAGGTAATGCCATCTCTTATAAACATAGATTTTAACCCGTTGTCGACCGCTTTGGTCGTTTTCGTTCCAAAAGCATTGATGTATATTTTCTACAGGGAACTATTTAATTTTCAGTTTAAGCTATTAAGATGGTAAGCAATAAATTTAGCACAAGAATAGATCTCTCCACAGTTACCACATTTTAAAAATTCTGACCAATCCTGACAGAGTTAAACACGAAAAAAAAAGCAACTAAGCGACATTTTAGGGAAAAATCCACTGCCAACCTCGCTATTCACCTACTACTACACCTAGTACTCTTTGCAGATTAAATTTGTCTCTTCCAAGAAAGTATTACATGGGAAAGAAGGACGATAAAGTGGCCAACAAAAAGGGTTCTGCGTAGTGTGAAAAGATAGACAAAAGGGGAAAAGAGGGCGAGAAAGAAAGATCGAAATAGATTCGCAAAAAAAGGCCAAAACTTGCCTCATGCGAAATCACGAAAAAAAAGCTTCTTAAGGTGGCTCGACTGGAGCTTTTAGGCAGTATAGCTCCTCACTTTGAGCGTTTACCACGTCGACATTAACACAGATATCGGAACAAGTTTACCACAGCTGCACTGTATAAAGATGAAAAATTGTTATGATCCATGTTTTATATGACATCAGAGTTACCATGACAGCATAATGGCGCCATTACGTCTTTTACTTGCCTTTGTATTTCTCGGTACTTGGATTTTTTTTCACAAATCGCTTAAGGGAGCTTGTGCCTCCCTTAGTTGCCTCGGTTATGGCAAAGTTTGAACAAATTCTATGAGAGCGTTTTGGAAATATTTTGAAACAAAGTTTTAAGGGTTATTGAAAGAGTAAATAAACATGCTATTACATAATTAGGTAATATCTAAAGAAAATGAAGAGGTCTGGAAATGCAGTTTCATCTCATAGTGGTTTGATTCAATCTGAAACTTAGTACGAAAAAAGAGAGGGATTGCTTCGGCCGATTGCAAGAAAGAGGAGTTTGATTATAAAACCATTGATTTCAGCTACGATTTCAAACAGTGCCTGAAAGCTTGGTGCGAGTTCATAGAGATTAGTCACTGCGAAACCATTGTTTCGAAAATGCTGGAATTTGTTAAGCGATTTATCGACGATAGCTGACGTGATAAGTGTTAGCATCGCACGCCGCGTCTTACGATAACGCTTGCTGTTAAGACGCTCTAAAACAAGTGAAAAAGAACAGCAGAAAAAGCTTTTTTTATCAAAAGGAACAGGAATCAGGAAAAAAATTTAACCTTGGGCCTTCATCAGCCGTTTCCAACTGGACTGGGCTAGCCCAGGGCTGGCCCAAAAATCACATGAGATCGCCTGTTAAAATTACAGCAAAAATTGCACGAAAAATCTCCTCAGTGTGAAAACTGGCCATGGCATTCAAGCAATAGGCTCAAAGACTGCATAGTTCTCTTTGGGCATAGTCTTCTTGTAAATGCACGACATAGTCTTCCGCTGGTGGATGTTGTTTTCCTCTAGCCTGTAAATGACGTCTGACACAGGCCAGTGTTTTACTTTCCGAATTACACAGCAAGAATAATCTCAAAATCAGTTCACTTTGAACTGTTTGATTCCTGAAACCTCCAATCATAATTTTTTCAGCCCGAAATCAGAAACGTTTGATTCCGTAATCATATTTTGCCCGCGAACGTGCGAAAGAGGTGCAACTCTTGATGAATTATAAATTTCCCAGTGTAGGAGTTTAATTGCTAGTCAAACGTTGACTGAATAGGAAAAAACAAGAGCGGAAGGCGAGTGCTTGAAAATTAATGTAATGTTCTTCATTTTGATTTCTAGGATATATGCCAAGAACTGGTTTTAATTGGTAGACGCCAGGACAGCCTTAAAGGAGAGATGATGGACTTACAGCACGGTTTGCGGTTTGTCGAGGAAACGTGCATCCGCGCTAGTACTGGTAAATAATAGTCTGAAAAAGGAAAAAGCTCGAAAATACAGAATTGTCGAATTCATTCTACTGACAAAAGTGGAGTTGTGTGTGGCAGAGCAGTTTTACTCTGCCACACACACATCAAAACACCTCCAACTCCGGATCTGGAGTTCGGGATTCAAGCCTCGCCCGTCGCGTTGTTTCCTCAGAGAAGGACCTCTACTCCACTTTGTTTCTCTTCAACCAGGTGTATACCGGCGACATACTGCTGGGGGGTAACCCTGCGATGGACTGGCATCCCGTCTAGGGGGGAGAAGCAATACTCCTAGGTATGCTTCGTGCTAAGGAAACCGGGATAAGCTCCGGCCATTATATTTGGGCCTTTGGCTCGGGTGCCCTTTACCTTTACCTTATACTACTAGAAATCGTGCCTCGAAAACGGCTCCTGATTAGCTGAATATTTGCTTCAACCAATCAGAAACACTATCCTGAGATAGGTAGCTGCGTACTCGCCACTTGTTACCAACTTGTCATTGAAGTCATTTCGCGGGAAACCAGCCGGTCGCGTCTCAAAATGTCGGCTGTTTTCTCAGGCTAATTAGAGAACGCGCTCTTCTTCACTTGTGTCAGAGGGATTATTTTGAGTCCTGTTTGATTTCTTTCTTCATATTTTAGATTACGCTTTCAGTGCCAACTCAAACCTGTGCATAGTAACAGCGGGTGAACGTCAGAAAGAGGGAGAGAGTAGAAGAGATCTGTTGCTGAGAAACTTTGAGATTTTCAAAGGTAGATTTCTTCATCTTGAATGCTAGCATGTAGTAGATAGACAACTAACGAAATACTGGCCAGCGAATACAACCGTTTCTCACCACTAAAATGAGCGAGGAGGGACGGCTGTATTCAAAGGCTAAATCGTCGTGGAAAACACACAACCACTTCCTTTTTTCAAAGTCGAAGGCTTCTCGGCGGAAAATTTGTATACCCGCTGGCTGAGAGGGTTTAGAACTTAGCTCATGGACATGGAAAGTAATGTTCATAGGGCGGGAACCAACACTCACAACCAGTGAGTGCGGTTTTTCTGTTTAACCCAAGAAAAAATCCTTTTCTGGAGTTTGAATTCTTATTTGGACTTCAAATCCTTTTTAGGTACTGTATTAAATAATGTTATAGCATATTGTATCCTCCTCGCTTCCGCAGGAGTCAATAGGGACCCTACGATCCGACAAAGGCGACGTCCATAAAAAAACGTCGCTGGGGAAACATAGACTCAGCATCCTTTCGGACCATTTGGCCATTATTCAAGTCGCCCAGTTACTTAAAAGAAGGGAATTTATTTTGGAGATGAAGAGAGGAGACCGCGCACGAGTTCAGACAAAGATGGTAGAATCTATCGTCTTGCCGTTCCCGTACTCAAGTAAACTCAAAAACTGGTCATTTAAACGCCGTGGTTGTGCAGGAACGGCAAAGAAATGTACTAAAAAGCGTGATGCACGTGCAGATTTGTTGTTTTGCTCATTAAACCTATTGCTTTTTGACGTTCCCGTTGCCGTCGTCGTCGTGGTTTCGTAAGGTCCCTACTGTTCTGTTTTAGAGGACGGGTGGGAGATTGGGGAGAGAACGGGGAGGGAAACTCCTGCTCTTTTTTCTCCTTTTCTCGTTCTCAGTAAAAAGGAGTAGCCTGTGGTGGAGGCTAAGTTTATTGCAACCACCTGATAGTTAAGTCGATTTTCAAGCGTGGAAAAACGTGCAACCACACGACGGACCTGTTAAAGTCAGCAAATACTAGAAATAATTGCATATACACATTGCGGACCTATAACTGTATTGCAAGATTACGTACGTGGTCGCTGTCGTTGCCATTTTTAACAGTCGATGCCACCAGTGATAACCAACCCTTAATTAAGTCATGATAGAAGTAATATATTCCCTGGATTAAGTTACAATAAAGCAAAACCGACAGCGGCTAATGCGCGTTCAGTCCTTTCCGAGCGCACCCACCTTCGGGTCATGTCACGACAGTTTCGTTGAAAAGCCGAGACCGGTTCTTTTATTATTCATCGTGGGTTTAGCACATTGTTTTAGCTCGTCTGGTATTGAAAAAAGAGAGAAGTAAAATAACTGAAATAATTTGATGGCAATTTGGTTTAACGTTTATGATTTTACAGATATCATTCCAAAGTTGGTAAAGCACAGTCCCAATACCGTACTGCTGATTGTTTCCAACCCAGGTAAGAGAATAAAAGCTAGGGACCTACATAGTGCTCACTGTGGTCATGAAGACTTGAACAGTTCTTAAACAGTTCCAAACGTTATTTCAAAGAAAAAGGGATATCCTAAGCGTGAAAACGAGCGAAGCTTGTTAAGATTCTTTCAACGTGAGTTACTAACACCCAGGTAATTAAAAGTCTTTCCAGGAAGTCCTGTGTTGTTTTCTGCGGTTTAGTTTTCGTTTCCTCTGGCTGCATGTCTTTCCTACAGTTGCCGTCCTCCGAATTTCTTACCGGTTTCCAACAAAAGAGAAACGAGCGCACATACCTGTGAAAGATCGTGTGTCGTTCCTCCGCGTCGTTCCTCGTGCGATAGAACTAACTGAACAGTCACTCGTGTAGTCCCAACACGCTCAATCAAGTTAAGGGTTGTACCATTTGCTCCTCGTTTGTTTCAGTTGTGGTAGTTTTATGTAAAATTTATATTTTTACTGTTTAAAAATGTGCATATTTATCTTGGAAAATTAATATCTTGTGTACAGTCCGGCTTACCGCGATTAGTCCTTCGCATTTTGCAAGCCAGCCTTATCTGTAATAACTATGTAAAAAGGAAGGGTGAATTAAGCGTGAAGTGTGAATAAAGTGTTACGTGTAAACTGCTATTCTTGATCACCAGCCACTGTTTGGAAATGAGCCTGCGGAACAAAGAGGAATTAAGTCCACCTTAAGGTTGCACACGACGTGACACTGTATGTATAAGACTCTCACGACTACTGCGACTCCTGAATTCACCAGTATAGCACTATTTGTTTTATTGTTATGCTTTAGTTGAGGTCTTGACGTACGTGGCGTGGAAAATCAGCGGTCTTCCAGCTGATCGTGTGATAGGAAGTGGAACCAATCTGGACACAGCTCGGTTTCATTTTTTGATCGGCGAAAAGCTAAACATCCCACCAAACAGTGTGCACGGCTGGATCATCGGAGAACATGGCGACTCTAGTGGTACGTAAAGGATGAATCGCAAGTCACTCCCTCCCGGGGCCGTTTTTAACGCGGTTAAGCCATCCCTCTCTCCACCCCGCTGCTAACCACAACACCCACAGACTAGTCCCAGCACTACCTTTACCATAACCTTTCTTGAACTTGAGAGTACTTCAAAGATCGACCATTGGCTTATTCTGCCTCACAATACGAGCAGTCTCTCATTTCCCTCGGGGAGAATAGATCGCAGTAGATATGCGAAGCAAATACGCGAACGCCGGTGGAAATTGCCTCCATCTAGAGAGTTAACTCGCGTAATCGCACTTAGGCGCTCTTAGAAAAAAACGCGAGATCACCTTGTCAACATTCCTCGCGGGTGCCAGTTTCACCCACGCTCGTATATTTTTTTCTCTCGACAAATGAGGGACTACATTTACCCTAAGTAAATGTAAGATCGCTCAATCTGCAAAGTACCCAAGTTTGAGTGCTCCGCCCATGTTCTCGATTTGTTTCCAAATGAAACCTTTTCACCACCTCGCCCGCCTGGCTCTTAGGAAAGAAAGACGACTGCTCGCGATCTAATTTTTCGATTGACAGAATCCCGATTCAGGGGAATTGTCGTAAAAAGAATCTTTTTGCTGCTGTCTTTATATAGTGCCTGTTTGGAGTGGCGTGCATATTGACGGCGTGATGCTCAAGGATCTCAACCCACAGATAGGCACAGAATCGGACCGTGAAAACTGGAACGAGATTCACAAGAAAGTTATTATGAGGTAAAGTCGTAGAATTTGTTATAACCATCCTACATTCAATTTTCAGCTTTAAGTTGCTGCTAATCAATTAATTGTAGCCTCCATTCATCGCGAGTTCATAGCGCGCGTAGTGCATGTTCATCGCGTTCAAGGACGCGCGTCTTAATTTCCCTTCAAACGCCCGCGAGAAGTGCCGTGAACCATTGCCTTTCGTTATAGTACAAAACAGAAGCCGGTAACCTATATGCTTCTGTACAAAACTAATGAATTGTAGCTGGCGTGGATGCGCCTCCATTGTGTTCTCGCGCGCTTTTAATTAAGTTCCTCTTCAAACGAGGTTAGTTATAAGTACAGCGGACTAAACTCAGAGAGCCGATTATTAAATCAAAGACAAACTCAGACTTTTAATTATTTACTCTTTCCACAGCAATTCAGTTTTGTCTCATGGCGGGAAAGGACACCTCATTTGCATGTGTTCACGTGAACATTCGAAAATAAACTCCATAGTCCATGATCGATTGTTAAAGCTGACCTTTTTTCCTATTTAGTGCATATGAAGTGATTAAACTCAAGGGCTACACTTCCTGGGCAGTTGGTCTCAGTGTCGCTAACATTAGCAAGGCGTTACTAGGAAATATGGCGAACGTCCAGGCCGTCTCCACCATCGCAAAGGTAACTGACTTTATTTCTTTTTCTCATCACAAAAGTTAGCACGCTTATTTCCGTTGAAGGAGTTAAAACCCTCTCCCGATTGCTAAATGATACAATTCCCAAGATTTCAATACCTTGGGTCAGCATTCATCTAATAATGATAACCAATAACTTGTTTTCGTCACTACGAAATTCTTGCTAAAACTCGTAGTAGACTGGCGACAGCTACCACATTTTCCCGCCAAAATGACGTTAGTTGGCGCGCGTGCCCAGTTTTTTTCCAGCCTCTTTTTCTAAACGAGACAAGTGTGCATTGGAGCTTTACGTTTCTTATCATACTTTTACTGCTGCTTTTCCTTTTGAAGTGACGAATCATTCGAGATTCGGGCATTAACTTTTAATTACGGCAGTACATTTATTTGTTTTAACATTCCTTTACATTTTTCAAATACAACTTTAGTCAAAATATCAAAAGCTGTCACCGTCAGCGTGGACAATTCTCTCTTAATGTCAAAGATACGTTATTTGATTTAGTCCCCATGTCTATGATACGGTTCTGAATTGCGGCCTCTAAGCTCTCTCTTTTTTTCCCGTTCCATGATAGTATCGAAATGCCTGAGATTATTCTCGTCCCCAGAGCCCGTCGTTTCTTTTGGTCACGTGGCCGAATTTATGTGGTGGATGTATGTTAAGGCGTTACTCATTAACCATTCCTATTTTTTCTTAGGGATTTTACGGGATCAAGGAAGAAGTTTTCTTGAGTTTGCCCTGCGTTCTTGGCCCCCATGGGGTCAAGTCAGTTGTGAGCCAGCAGCTAGATGAAAACGAGGTTAACCAAATACAGGGATGCGCGCGCATCATGCAAGAGCTGCAGCAATCTTTGGTGTTTTAATTGAGTTCGAGATAAAGCAGGAAAAAGGATAATAAGCACATGTGTGACTTTTTTCTTGCCGAGGAACAAGAAATTGAAATAGTTTCAATATTTCGTTTTCATTACACGTTTTCACGGCCATATGTACTGGAAGATCTTAGCAAAAAACCTTTGGTTTCAGCAAGACGGCTCCTACAAGGGCCTAGGACTAGATAATCATCTGGGGCAATCCTTTGTTTTTTGTCGAGAAATTGCGTCGGATTAAATCAATTAGACGTTGGTCAGTTAATATAAGATCAAAATGATAGATAGAAATGTGGGAATGATATTGCTGCGCACCGTCAAGTCCACAAACAACGTAAACAATAAAGAAGTCCGAAGGGCTTCATAACAATCCCACTCTATTAACTATAGTGAAATGAATAAAATATAACTTCAAAAGCACGGTTGTTGTACAAATACGTTAGCTAATTAACTCAAACACAACCAATAAAATTTGTACATTTCACTTTGTCTTCCTGTTTTTAAAATTTGTTATTGTTTTCTGATAATTTCCCGTTTTGTATTGCTGAAATATTAGGGAAAAATAATAAATTAAGAAAACTTTTTTTCAGTTGTTTGATAAGTCTTGCCTGATTTCTTTAAAACATTTTTCATGGTCCTGAATACAGAGGCGAAGATCTCGGTATCCGGCTACATCCCGAATCTGGTGATAAGTACCTGAAGTGTCTCGAATCTCGACTATTTTGTTCTAAATTCATGTTTTTTCCTCTGGTCGAATTCCCCTTATGTATATAATGAGACGAAAAAGTCGCAAAAACGTTCGAGGAAACATCAGAAATTGGATTTTTCTTTTCATCAAACCTCTATCGATCATCATCATCATCATCATCATCACATCGTCACTATCGTCATCATCATTATCGATAATCGATCTTTATCATCATTTGTAGTCCTTTCCGTGACATTCGCTTGGCGCGCAAACCAAAGAGTCTCCTTTCCTCCCGCCCGCCGAATACCAGAGAAAAGAGCATCTGCTAGCAGGGAAAGTGCGATATACCACTCAAACTCATTTGTTCCTTGCTCTCCCGCTGGTTCTATGTATCTCTTGGTCTCTGCTTGTTCATTTTTCTGCCGGTATTCAACTGAAGCAATTCTGCACAAGTTATCAGATCTACCCAAGGGAGCCTTAGCAATTTTCTAAGCGCAGACAATGCCCCACCCACTATAAAAATCACGTTTCCTTGCGTTTAAGAATGCCTATGCCATCCGGTCTCTTTGTTGAATTTACCGCGGGGCATTTTAGCTTTTTCTAAACCAAGGGATTAGTACGTGTATCAACATGTAACAAAAATTGTGGCATATAATTAAAAACTGTCTGGATGTCGATATGAGATTTATACAAATATAAGTTTATATTTACGAATAAAGCTGGACAAAAGAAAACAAAATTACTTTTTCAGCTGTCGCGAAAATGCTTGAATCATAAAAGTCAACTGATTTGACATCATTCTGTAATATTACACAGGGACGCTTTGTCACAATAAAAATTTGTTGTTTCGGGTGAAAAGGCCGCATTTGATTGGCTCAGTCAAGCACATCTCATCATCGACCGAGAAAATATCAATGATATCTATCTGTTGTCTGGCATGGCCATTAGCGGCAAACTAGCGTGTTGTTAATTGCAAAGCAGAATTATTCATTCGCTGGGAGCTTTACTGTGTACAGACTCTCATAGCGGGGGTATTTTATGTCAACGCAGACAAACATTGCCTCTGATCGCTCGAAGGTGTGCTTGGACATTTATCAGCATTCAAAGACCTCGATACCTCTTGAGTCAAGGACCTAGTTGTTCTGTGTCAAGTGTTGTCACGGCATATAAGATGAGTTTAATTTTTTCCTCTTGAGGACAAATTGCTTGGACTGCGGGAACTCGACAATCGATATAAACCCGATAAATCTTTATTGCTGACCTCAATTTTCGCCGACTGTGGGTCAAATGCAACTGCTTCGCGGATGGCTGCGAAGTGTAACTGGATTATTGGTCAGCTTTTAGCGGTTTGGATTAAGATCTGTTTTTCTTCCTGTGGTGACCTTATTCAAACGGAATCGGGAGACATTCGTTTTCCAGTCAACGGAGGAAATGTTGGCGAACGAACGCAATGTGTTTGGACGATTTCAGTGCCCGAGAGATTTCGCGTGAAACTCACATTTACAGATTTTGTAATGAAAACAACATGTTGTTCATGCACACACGATTATTTAGAAATCCGCGACGGTTTGCTGCACAATTCAACTCTCATCGGAAGATATTGTGCTAACAGGCAACCTAAACATGTTTACTCATCTCAAAATGTTATATGGATTAAATTTGGTTCGGATTTTCGGACGTTCGAGGGAAATAGATTTCGGTTGTCGTACGAAGCTGTTTGCGGACGCCATTTCTCCGAAACCTCGGGAGGTTTTAGCTCCTTTGGATTTCCTTTGTCGTACAAAAAGACCAGAGATTGTATTTACAGTATTGAAGTCCCAAAGGGAAGAATCAAAGTGAAGTTCGACAGCTTCAGCTTGGAAGGTCGCATGCCTATTTGCTTGTATGATTTTCTTGAAGTGAGGGAAATCCGATCTGTTGAACTCTCAAGTTTTCAAGGACAATCTCGACGTCGTCGTTATTGCGGTAACGAAAAGCCGCCTATTATATACTCCACAAGGGGAAGTTATCTCTTTTTTAGGTTTAAGAGCAATGACTCTGGTGGAAAATCGGGATTTGTGGCTAGTTATCGTACCATTTCTGTTGGAGAAGGAACTTGTGATGGCGTGCTTAAAGATAAATCTGGTCTAATTTACTCTCTAAATTACCCATATCGCTTCCCAGTTGGAAAGGAATGCGTGTGGAAAATCCAAGTTGCATCTGAGATGCATGTTCATCTATATTTTGATACACTGGAATTTGGATCAAAGGAACAGGGCTGCCAGAATGCCAATTTGGAAATTTTTGATGGTTCAGACATTTCTTCACATAAAATTGGACGGTACTGTGGAGACCTGATACCCTCTAAAATTGTATCCAGAACAAATGAGTTGACAATAAGAGCAGTGTCAAAGTTAAGGGCACAGGAAACAGGCTGGTTTTCACTGCGTTATGAGTCATCTCCTGTGAGTGCATGTGGATTGGAGAAATTTACTTGCACCAATAGGCAATGTGTTGACAGCTATTTCAAGTGTGATGGCAAAAACGACTGCAGTGATGGATCAGATGAGGATGGTTGCCCTGTGGTAGAAGAGTCTAATGTATTTACTTGGTACAGGTTTTGGCCTGTTAGCATAGTTGGTGGCATGCTCATTGTGGGTGTCTGGCTTTGGCGTGCATGGAAGAAGATCATGTTGGCCCGATCTCAATTAGAGAATAATCACACCACAACTCTGTCGCCAAGTCAAATAGAAATGCTCCCATCTGTGGTCACAGGTCCTCCAAGTTACACCGAGGCTGTTGCACAAGACAACAGGCCTCCACCTTCGTACGAGGAAGCTCTAAGAGAACCAACAAACCCACAGCACACAGAAAGAAACTCTTCTCATGATATTGTAGGTGATTCTACAACATATCATAGAACTGATAATACAGTTACTTCACCACCAGAAAATACACTTACATCCCCGGTGTCATCCATGGTGGTTTACAGAACTTCGGCATCTCCCTATGATAGCCATCGCTCGCCTTATGACAGTCATAGAATGAATAGTGACAGTCGCAGTTCTGTGCAAAGAGTTTAACATTCAGAATTCTTCTCCGAGGTGTTTGTTTATTTAGTTAACTGAAGTCTACCATGTAAATAATGCTTCCACTAAAATTTTATACTTTGATGTATATAGCCCTAGAGTAGCAGTTTCCTTACAAAGGCACACCTAAAGGTATATACTAGGTGCATTCCAGGTACCTACCTACCTCGTGCTCTGTTCCACAATGGCATAAAGGCTGGTTTTTACCAGCAAAGGAGTCAGAGTCGGAGTCGTAAGCAGAGTTGCAAGAGTGTTTATGACTTAGTGAGAATCAAAAATCAGAGTCATAGTCAGAGTCATAAGTGCAACAGAATTGGAGTCAGAAGGATCAGAACATTTCCATTTTCTTCTGACTCAGCTTACGACTCCATTGCTTATGATCTAGTGAAAACCAGATTGTCAGAGTCGGAAGCAGAAGCGGAACAAAAAATCAATCACAATGCATGTTCCCACCTTTTGTGATTGGTTTAGCTCATCTGCTTCTGCTTGTGACTCTTACAATTTTTCTACTTGATTGTAAGTGGCATCAGGACGCAGTTTCTCGAGATTGTCAAGTCTTATGCTTCTGATTTCAACTCCAACTCCATTACTAGTGAAAACCAGCCTTTTAAGGCCTCTACACTTCTTTGCCAGCCTGCCCTATCCCTATCAGAAGCTGTTTCTTGTTCCCATGACCCCTATGCCAGTTTTGCTCTCTCCTTTTCTACCGAGTTGCAACAAGTTGTCCCTGGGTGCCCAACTTTCACTTTCGATCAGATGCCAGAGACAGTGCTGTAACACAGTGATGTCCCATCTGCATACAGCACATTTCCAAGCCATGATTTAGAATTCCAAACAGTACAATAAGAAAGTCAAGGTCAAGATACATACCAGGTACAGGTAATAAAAATACCTTGCTGGAGAAATTGTCAAGGTTTCATTTGTATTGGAAGGTTAAGCCCAAGGGGCACCTCTTTACTATAGTATCAATAAGTATTGTTAAAGGGGGAAAAGTATTTTCAACTTCTATTATTCAGCAAAGCTTGTGATTTAAACAGGGCCATAGCAGCTACTTCTTTTAAGTTTTAGAGCTTTTCTGTGGACTTTCATACATAGATAGATTTTATTTGCTCCTTTGGTCATTTTATGTAACAGTTTGCAATAAAATCCTTTTTGGTACTACTAATAATATGCTTATACTTTTCACTCTCACAAAAATAGCTCTTAAATCTACTTTTGTTTATAGTGCACATATCAACATATCGCCCAAATTTTTGAAAAATAGGTGAAAAAGTGTCCAAGAAAGTATGGATGAAACAAAGTTTCAACATGAAATCCCTTTTGCTTAGATAATTATAAAAACATTTAATATTTTTATGTCAATGAGGCTGTTGTATGTATAATTTTCAGTGTGGAAAATTGTGTTGAATTATCTTATTTTATTTTAAAAAGTACCAGTATTACTGGTATTACCACTGTAAATATCACAGATGTTATTATATAGAGTGAATAAATACAAGGTTACAAATAACACTAAACATTGTTTTAGATACTAGTAATAAGTCCCTGCAAAGACTGGTTGGACAACATTAAAAAGGCATCGCCTGCAGGCAACACAATTCTTAACACAATACCACAGACAACAGCCCAGCATGATAAGCACTCATGACTAGAATGCAGAGACGGACAACTTTATTTTGCTCTTTTTAGAGCTAACCCCCATCCAAAATGGTTTTCAGCAAGAAATCTACGAGATATGAGAAGACTAAAAAGGAAGCAAAGGAGAGGACTTTGTAAAAAAATTGGTCAAAACGTCCTATCACATGGAAAAGAGAGAAAACAGGGTGATGCTGTTACGAGGTAATAAGGAAAAAAGAAGGACACTCATGCCACACAATGCGCATCATGTGCAGTGTACCATAGCCAGAAACCTAAGGAGAGTTACATATTGTAATGGCAAATTACCTACCTATCTCATAAAAGCTTAGAATCCTAGCTTGATTCTTGATGTTTTTCGGTATCTGATCTTGTTTAGTTTTCCTAAACAGAAAGCGTGCAATCAAAATAATCTCCTATGCAGACATTCTCTTGTCTTGGGATGTCATCAGTGGGGAGGGTCATTCCATTGGTACCTCTGTACTGTACTAGGCTAACAGTGACCACCTCACTACATTTGAATGGTTTTCCGTACAAATCCTTGCAATTTCGAATTTTCAAACTGTTGGGAAATACATGTATTTCGTTAAGCATTACAGGGCACAAAATCTCCTTTTAATTCATACCAGGCACTTTGAGCCCATTAATGTGTAAGGGAAAGATTTAACGACAGTTTAAAAATTTCAGAAATTAGAGGGAGTTGTATGGAAAACCACTCAAGCATGACTGAGTGGCAGTAGTTGTTTTTCTCATACAAATCCTTCAAATTTTTGGCGGCCATTCATATCACTACTTTTGAGATAAATGGCTGAAAATTTACAGGTTACCTAATGTTAGTATGCTCTTTCAGCTTGGCTAACAGAATTTTTGCCAAAGGCATATTTATTGCTATTAAGGCCACATGAATTGTTAACGACCTTATCATAACACAGGCTTACATGTTGTTCAGTGAAGAATAACATAATTCGATAAAGAATATTATTAATATTTATTTTCCTTGCAAAATGGTTAGCGTAAATAACATTTTCTTGTTGATCTGGCGATTAGCGAATACTGTTTTGAGGATTAAATAAAATTTGTTTTACTATATATTTTTTCTATATATTTTTTCAAAAATCAAGTAGAGCACATACTGGCTGTTTGATACATATTCCTGAAAAAAGGTCATAAAGATGAGGGCAGATAGAGATAAAAAAAAGGTGCAGCTTGGAAACTTAGTGACTAGTAAACTAAGCTTGGCATTCTTCCGTAAATCTTTGTGGTATCATTGTCAAAGCTAAATCACTGGCAATGGGTTCAAACCAGATGGCATCCTGGCCATCAATCTTGAACAGACCACAGGGGTCCTGAGCTCGTGTTACGACAGTGGAATGTAAATTTACTTTCTTACAAGTCAGTCAGTGTCGCATTATAGGCAATCGTTGACACGTTGTATGAGAAATAAAATACTGATGAACGCAAACGTTAAATATCATTTTATTTTACCTTTTCTTCTATAAAATAAATAAAGGAGACTTACCTTTGATGTATTCATGTGATTTTTGGTGTGAATTCATAGATTTAGTCTATTTTTTTGGCTGTTATTGTGTGATCCCTGTAACTACAATAGACAAAAAAGTTGACTAAACTGATTTATCTCATACATGAAAAGTTAAAATATAATGATATTTAGCGTTCACAGATCTCAGTAAGTTATTTCTCATACCATGTCTCAACAATCGCCATAACATGATACTGACTAGCTTGTGACAAAGTTAATTTACATTCCACTCATAACGTGAGCTTGGACACCTGTGAACAGACTACCCTTATTACTAGTATATTTACGTTAATTCCATTCTTGGGTTACACCAAAAGATTTCATCCACATTTCAAAACAAGTACATAAAAATTACAATACAAAGCACAACTTAAAAGCACACCGACTTTCACACTTTAAAAAAAAAATTTATCCACACACTTGTGACTTGTGAATGTTCAGAGTTAAGACTGGGCAAAAAAGAAAACTTTCCTGGTTAGCATTATGACAGGTGCAGGCATTTGTTTCTTTCTATTGAACGATTCAAATTCTCTCGCAACTTTGCCATTGACCCTGACCAACATGCTGACAACATCTTCTGTCTTAGCATAGGCGCTGAAGACATCAACCATGGCTTGTACAAACCACGAGCCTTTCTGCAGATGACTCCATGAGACATAACCAGGTACAGTGGAATAGGCCACCAACATGTCGGCCTCAGCGGGAATAGTTTCAGGCTCATCAACTGTCTCAGGCTTGTCATTAGGAAATGCAGCAGCAAGAAGTTCGTTAGTTGAACGGGTAACATGATATTCTGTCTCGACATTAGCGCTATGACCACCGTCTGTCACATCTGTTCCATGGTCATAATCACTCCCGCGGCAAGCTTGGATGAAAAACAACTTGGGTTTGCCAATTAGATCTTTGGCCATGTAGCCATTGAACAGTGCAAGCAGATCAGGTATGGACACAAGAACACCATCGACACCATAAATTTGCCCTTCAAGACCATGACTAAGCAGACAAAGAACCATTGAATCGGCTGCTTTGTGGTCACTCATTTTAGCAAACTGAAACAGAGTGTCTTTGAGCTGTTTGCCAGTTTGGTTTCTTACTACTTTGACCTTGTAATGTAATTGTGTAAAAAGTTCACTTAGCTGCTTTGCATCAAGATCAGAGCCACCTCTTCTGCGCAGAGTCTCAAAGTCAACATTGTTCACTATAAGACACCAGCCGTGTGGTTTACAATTCATGGGGTATACAAAATCTTCATCAGTATCTGGCAGGACATTCTTTTTTACTTGTGATGATGTTTCAACATTGGATTTCACTGCTACATGATGGCTAGTATTGGCAACACCATCATTCACCTCCACTGCGTTTCCAGCAGTAGTACTTGAAACATTCCCTAAGAAAAATAAAGGGATATTAACATGACACAAAAGACTTGAGAGACTCTACAACAGCCTAGCTTCTCCCTCCCATGTTGATTCATCTTTTACTTTCAGTAAAGTCGTTAGAATGTCTGTTGTGAGGAATGCACCCATCAACAGGGGTGTCACAAAGGGTTAGGGGGGCTGGAATTTCCTACCACTACTATGGGCATGACCTAGAACTAGCATCTTGAAACAGAAGTGACAGCCCTGCACCATTTCCTTCACATTCCTTTAATTATTTGATTATAATTGCATCACCATGGAGACCCTTAGGACTCTTGGCTGACTATTCCCCAAATCTTGATTTAGATAAGGAACGTTCCATTTTGCATCTGCAATCCCCCCCCCCACCAACCCCCAATTAAGGATGACAGGTAATTGAAAAGGGGAGCTTTTTTCTTTTTTTTCTTCAAAGAAGTCAACAAAATTTTGATCCTTTCAAAAAAATTTTCAAAAGTGCCGACAAAGAATGAACCCTCCAGATTTCATTTTTCAAACAAAAATTTGAGAATTCGCATTCCAGTCATCCTTAGGGAGGGGGTGGGGATAAAAAAGGTGGCACTCGTCAGAAATGGTAAAAGCGTGGACTTTGTTTCTTTTAACTAAGGTTATTTCAAAATCTAAACTACCTATATCCCGGAAACAGGATGGAGTTATCATTTGCTGTACGAAAATATCTGAAGATCCAATCACCCATTACTAGGATGGATCTCCCACGCTCTGGTGTTTGAATGATGTTAGGTTAACTAGGCACTGCAATTGCAATTGATCCCAATTAATTACCTGACGAAATTGATTCATTCGGTTTCAATAAATCCACGAGATGGCCTTGTCCGTCAGTTGTCGCAAGTGCCTGACAAAATACATCGAAAGCCTTCTTTCCCCGCCGAGGCAAGATATCCAAAAGTTTTTCAGCTTTAGCACCCCGAGTCTTCTCTGCTTTGATAGAATCACGATCGTTTTCCGACAAAATGTCTTCTTGGTAAAGGTAACTCAGTAACTGAGTGGCTTCTAGATCTTGAACTAACGAGATTCTATTTTTCCTGAGAAGATCTCTATGCTTTTTGTCCATCACGAAACTTAAAAAAGCTAAATTGGTAAAGAGGAAATACGCAAATGTTGAAAGTCTTGCTCGTCATAAGAAGAATATTCTAACAAACCATACGATTGGTTTATTTTGTTTAATGTTTCCCTTGACCAATCAAAACATTCTTTATTACGAAGAATTATCGCGGCAGTCTGGTCAGTGGTAAACTTGAGAAAAATTAAAACAAAGATGGCGGAGTTTCATGAATGTCATGGTTCTCTGGTATTTTTGAGCAACGAAAACCGTAGTGCTCGTAGAAGGAGCTCCGCCGCAGAATTTAACAATGGCCTGATATTCAGCAAGAGGCCACTCAAAGACGATGAAATATTTGAAGTGCGGTTGGACCGAAAGATAGGAAATTGGTCAGGGTCATGGGCCATTGGCGTGACTTGCGGCGATCCGGGCTGCATGGAAATTCCCTCCAGCTCTGCTGGCCTAAAAAATGGCTCGTGGATAATGTCTGGAATGTCGGTGCTGAGGGATGGATCCTCTTTTTTGGACGATTATGGTCGAGATCTCGATGAGCTTAAAGAAGGCGATAGGGTTGGCGTTCAAAGAACGGTGACCGGCAGTCTACATTTCTTTGTCAATGGTGCCGATTTGGGTGTAGCGGCGACAAATATTCCTCAGACTGTTTACGCCGTGATTGATTTGTATGGGCGATGCGCTGAAATATCAATTTATAAGCCTTACAGTAGCGCTTCAGGTAGGTGAAGACAAATGAGGGTGGAAAATACTTAACAACCACTTTGAATTCTTGGGCCGGTTATATTATGCTAAAATTATATCGGATTAACTGCGTATTAATTGATTTAGGGTGGTTCTTTAGTTAATTGAATATTGGGAATTGTAAACACTGCGTTGGGTCTAATATTTGACTTCTACTCTATGTTAGCCTTTATCGTTTATTGAACATGTATTTTTTATGTAAGTGGCATGACCCCATGTTAATCTTCACATGTTTTTAGACCTACTGTATTTTTGAAGAAATATGTGTCTCACTGTTAGAACTTTCTGGGGCAGTTTTAGGATTTTATGAAAGGGGGCTCCAACAAACGACCACTGAAGGTGGAAGATTCTGTAGGGGTCCTGGAAGTCTTCAAAGAATACTCAATTGAAATTACTTAATTCAAAACTAAACAAAGGCCGTTCCAGTTTGATGAGTCTTGCACAAATCGCGAATCGAGAATTAAGACACAGCAATCGAGAATCAAGTCTCGATTCTCGACTTGATTCTCAATGCTCGCCAGGATCGAGAATTGAGTGTCAACTTACTTTTGAACAAAACTGTAAGCTCCCTCCTCTCTAATAAGCCCTCCCTTTTCAGGGGAAGAAAGTTAATAAGCCCCCCCTCTTTTAAGCCCCCTCCCCTCCCCATTATTATTCTTCACTAATAAATGATTGAATGTATTAACCAATCATGACTGTAAAAGTTCATGTGGACTGATCTGGGATGTTTTATTCACCAACTGGAAGTTCAGATTTGTTTTTGATCCTCCACTGCATGACCTCCAACTCTTACTAAGGTTTTCCACTTTGTATTCTCGTTCCTTGTAAAGAATTGATACCATCGTGTTTGCTAAATTAAATAAGCCCCCACTCACTAATAAGCACTCCCCCCCCCCTCAAATATGTTTGAAATAGATAGCCTCCTGGGAGGGCTTAATAGAGGATTTACAGTATCATCCTGACCTGAGGTCCCTGGGGAGAAGGGGGACACTCAAGGAAAATTTGGGTACAAATTTGTTGCCATCAAGACCTTCAAACCATGGCCCTGTTTGAGGCAAAAATCCTTCATGTCACTGCCTTGTTTAGGAAAAGAGACCTTATTTCATTACCTTGATTCATTTCGTTTCATATACAGAATTAAGTAATTTTTCCAACTGACACTTTGAGATGAGATTTTTTGACAAAAATTGTTGGTACCACGAATGTATACTGCTTATCGCTAACTTTCACACTCTTTTAAAGTCTTGCTCTCCAAAACGAAACCCCTTTCAAGACACTAAATAGTAAAATTTTGATACAAATTTTTTTAAATTTGTGGTGCCTTGCATTAATAATAAGAACCAGATGACCATGTAATCTTAAGTCTGATCTTATGTCAACATGTATTAGATCAGATGCACTGCAAGCATACTTGTAACTTTAGTCGGTTACAAACCATAAAAGAGAGAAAAATACTGGTCCTACGAGTGATTTTCACCCCAAGGAGAATCAGTCCCTGAATATAAAATTATGAAGTAAACCTGTCCCAGGTAGAAGATTCTCCCTCTCAGCTGAGTCAACTTAAGCAAGTGTTTATTATTAGAAAAAGGTTGATCCCTTAGCCCTAGCCAACAGTGCTCACCCAAGCTCTGATTATCTTGCCTTGACTGATTTGACACAGCTGGACGAGTGAAAATTTTTGTGTGGAGAAAAGTTGGTCCCGCAAGAAAATGAATGTCAAATTTCACAATTCTTTTGCTCGGGCTTCCATAAGAAATTTTCTTTGGTGTTATTACAGATGACTAATAACACCTTTAGCCATAGAAAAATGTAAATAAGAATGCAATATACTTAAAATTGTTTTGGTACAAGGTTTTTGTGCACTGAGAATTACATGTAAAATTATTCAATTTCCTGGTGAATTCTGTCTTAAAACTTTTCTGTGTTCACAGGAGGAAGTTCAGATTCATTGTCAGGTCCTTCCACTGCATCAGTGTGCTTCCACCCTCACTGTGGGTCGTTAATAAAACTCTCCAATAATAACAGGACTGCAGAAAGACAGAGGCCAACAGAAGAGTTCAAGAATGCTGTGACTCTCACAAACAAACCCTTGAGAAATGATGAGTTGTTTGAAGTAAGTAATAATCAAGGTAAAGACGTAATCTTATAGTGCTAAAACTGTTTACATATCTCAAAGTGCTGAATAAATGCTGGCAAACACGAACACATAACAAATATTACACACAGAAAATGAAAAGAAAATAATGCAATCACTTGACAACAAATTTATATACTGTACATGAAATTATTCATTTAGTGCTGTTGCTTACAAATTTCCCCTGTATTTAGGAGTGTTGCATCCTTTTTGAGGGAGTTAAATGCAGATACCATTTATAATGCAATTAACCACCACCCAGTTAGCTCATTGGATAAGTGCTGGTCTGCTGAGCAGGAGGCCGCTGGTTCAAATCCTGCTCGGACCAACACCCAGGTTCTTTAAGTAACTGAGGAGTGCTGCTTGTCTGCAAATGGTTAGACTTTCTATTCTTCTCGGATAAGGACGGTAAACCATAGGCCCCCGTCTCACAACCCTTGCACATACATATTCTTTGGGACATTAAAGAACCCACACACTGTTCGTAAAGAGTAGAGGTTGTAGTCCCATATTAATTTTAGTGGTCTAACTCAAATGGGGGAGGGACTGTTACTGGCCCGTAGTAATATTTATTGGTGCCATGCACTGTTGTGATGACCCTGCCAAGAATTGGCAAACCAGGGTAAATAA